GTAGACAGCCTAGGCACACAGCCTAGGTACACAGCCTAGGGACACAGCCTAGGTACACAGCCTAGGTAGACAGCCTAGGGACACAGCCTAGGCACACAGCCTAGGCACACAGCCTAGGTACACAGCCTAGGTACACAGCCTAGGTAGACAGCCTAGGCACACAGCCTAGGCACACAGCCTAGGCACACAGCCTAGGGACACAGCCTAGGTACACAGCCTAGGTACACAGCCTAGGTACACAGCCTAGGTACACAGCCTAGGCACACAGCCTAGGTACACAGCCTAGGTACACAGCCTAGGTACACAGCCTAGGTACACAGCCTAGGTACACAGCCTAGGTACACAGCCTAGGTACACAGCCTAGGTACACAGCCTAGGCACACAGCCTAGGTACACAGCCTAGATACACAGCCTAGGTACACAGCCTAGGTGCACAGCCTAGCGACACAGCCTAGGTACACAGCCTAGGTACACAGCCTAGGTACACAACCTAGGTACACAGCCTAGGTACACAACCTAGGTACACTACTCTGGCTACGCTCTGGAACTCGCCCTCACAAGGACGTAGAGCCGGGAGTTCCAGAGTCCCACCACTGGCCCTCACATCGTCCCAGGGTCCTCAGATGGCTGGTCTTGGGTCTTGGGTCTTGAGCTACAACTGGCCTCAATCGGCCAGGGAGCTGCCCTTTTATGCCTCGTCCCCAACGAGGGGTGGGGTTGTGTGCGCCCCCAGATATCCCACAGAGTACACACAGCCCCCCCCCCTGTTGGTGGCGCCAAGAGGCTTAAGCGTCTGGGTTGCCTGAGGTCCCAGAGCCCCCAGCAGCCCCTCCCCTCTTATGTCACTACATATACATAGACGTATCCGTTGTCTCGTTGGTTCTTGTTTTGCCAAAATTCGCCGAAATTCCTGTACGATCGGAAGTGGTCCAGAGGTCAGAGGCAACTGAGCCGACACTTGCGGAGACCCTGGGTTCGAATCTGCGTCCTGCCCGCCCGCCCGCCCGCCCGTTCTCAAGCGTAGAGCGATCATGTTCTCAGCCGGGTCGGCCGATGACGACGCGAAGGAACGCAAAAATTCTAGATTTGAAGTTTTCGTGACTGCAAGCATCCACACTCTTTGGTTCTTTCGGTAAAATCACGTGACTTTACCGACACAACCAAAGAGGACGACAAAATAAAATGGCATCGCGTTCAATTCAATTTTTTTGTTTCAATTCGAACTCAAATTTGCCGGAATTCCAGCTCTTAAGCGTTCAGACGGCACCAGGTTTTGACCGGCTGTGTGGCGAGCGTCTTCCCACAGCAGGGAGCGGGAGGGGGGGGGCACTTTCCCGTACCCAGTCGGGTACGGGTAGCCGTTTGCGACCCTGGTGCGGCCGGGTACGGGTAGGCCGTGAGTCACTGGTGAGTCACCGTTTGTCACTCATTTCCCAACGTCTTGTCTCTTCTCACAATTCAAATTCCTAGAATCAACCCACCCGCGCCTGCAACATGGCTTCATCCCCAGAGGTCGCAATCAGGTACCCGATACTCGTACCCTACCCGATACCCGGCCGGGTACGGGTAGCCGGGTATCGGGTAGGGTACGGGTACGGGTACCCGATTGCGACCCTGGTGCGGCCGGGTACGGGTAAGGAATTAAAACCCGTTTGCGACCTCTGGTGTGACGGCTGCCCCCCCCCCCCCCCACCAGGCCCCTCCAACCCCCCCAGGTGACGCGCCCGTGCTGGGCTCTGATGCCCGTGTGTTGTAGAAGTAGAAGATCGATCCGCATCTGTGTTCGGGTCGCGTCGCGTGAGCCGGCAAGCCGCTAAGGCAGGGGGCTGGGGGAACTTTGTTTCTGCCAAGGGACATTTGGATGTTTATAAAACATCATTCGCGGGCCATAGAAAATGATCAACTTAAAAATTAGCCCGTTATTTTTGTCGTCTTGGTTCTTTCGGTAAAGTCACGTAGAAGGGAAGTAATAAAATAATAAAAATAAAACAATTAAATAATTCTTACGACGTTTCGGCCACAACGCAGACGCTGTCTTCCCGACAGACCTGTTCTTCACCTGAGGACGGCTGCTTGCGTTGTGGCCGAAACGTCGTGACAATTATTTTATTACGTTTTATTTTTAGTATTTTATTATTTCCCTTCTACGTGACTTTACCGAAAGAACCAAGAAGACGATTGCCATAAGTTAAGCACGTTTTTAAAATATATAGATACCGTTGCCATGGTTACCTACGACGACTTTATGCCTGTTAGTCTAAAGTTGAGTGGGTTGTCTTTTTCGGTTTTGTAACAAAATAAACGGAATCTGTATCTGCCCTGCTCCGCCAACACGACCCCGCTACCCCTTCCTGCTACCTCCTAACATTAAACGCAGTTTGTGCGCGAATGATTTCTCTCTCTCTCGTTTATCTTCTTTTTTTTACGATCAGTGGAAACAAGAAGATGCTCGGTGTAGTCGCCATTTTGCTTCGTTCATCATTTCGTTGTTTTTGTTTAAACTCTGCTTTATGTAAACCCCCACCTCTCGCTCACTCTCTCGCTCGCTCTGTCGCTCACTCTCTCGGTCACTCACTCGCTCGCTCTCTCGCTCTCGGTCGCTCTCTCGCTCGCTCTCTCGGTCGCTCTCTCGCTCGCTCTCTCGCTCACTCTCTCGCTCACTCTTTCGCTCACTCTCTCGGTCACTCTCTCGGTCACTCTCTCGGTCACTCGCTCACTCTCTCGCTCGCTCTCTCGCTCACTCGCTCTCTCGCTCGCTCTCTCGGTCGCTCTCTCGCTCGCTCTCTCGCTCGCTCTCTCGCTCACTCTCTCGGTCACTCGCTCACTCTCTCGCTCGCTCTCCAACTCGCTCGCTCACTCGCTCGCTCTCTCGCTCGCCCTCTCGGTCGCTCTCTCGCTCGCTCTCTCGTTCACTCTCTCGCTCACTCTCTCGCTCACTCACTCTCTCGGTCACTCTCTCGGTCACTCTCTCGGTCACTCGCTCACTCTCTCTCTCGCTCACTCTCTCGGTCACTCTCTCGGTCACTCTCTCGCTCGCTCACTCTCTCTCGCTCACTCTCTCGGTCACTCTCTCGGTCGGTCTCTCTCTCGGTCACTCTCTCGGTCACTCTCTCGGTCACTCTCTCGCCCTCTCTCTCAGTCACTCTCTCGCTCTCTATCTCGCTCACTCTCTCGCTCACTCTCGGTCACTCTCTCGCTCACTCTTTCGGTCACTCTCTCGCTCACTCTCTCGCTCACTCTCTCGGTCACTCTCTCGCTCACTCTCTCGCTCACTCTCTCGCTCACTCTCTCGGTCGCTCTCTCGCTCGCTCACTCTCTCGCTCTCTATCTCGCTCACTCTCTCGCTCACTCTCTCGCTCACTCTCGGTCACTCTCTCGCTCACTCTTTCGCTCACTCTCTCGCTCACTCTCTCGGTCACCCTCTCGGTCACCCTCTCGCTCACTCTCTCGCTCACTCTCTCGCTCACTCTCTCTCGGTCACTCTCTCGGTCACTCTCTCGCTCACTCTCTCGGTCACTCTCTCGGTCACTCACTCGCTCACTCTCTTGCTCACTCTCTCGCTCACTCTCTCGCTCACTCTCTCGGTCACTCTCTCGCTCACTCTCTCGCTCACTCTCTCGCTCACTCTCTCGCTCACTCTCTCGGTCACTCTCTCGCTCACTCTCTCGCTCACTCTCTCGCTCACTCTCTCGGTCACTCTCTCGCTCACTCTCTAGCTCACTCTCGGTCACTCTCTCTCGCTCACTCTCGCTCACTCTCTCGCTCACTCTTTCGCTCACTCTCTCGGTCACCCTCTCGCTCACTCGCTCGCTCTCTCGGTCACTCTCTCGGTCACTCTCTCGGTCCTCTCTCGCTCACTCTCTCGCTCACTCTCTCGCTCACTCTCTCGCTCACTCTCTCGCTCACTCTCTCGCTCACTCTTTCGCTCTCTCGCTCGCTCTCTCACTCGCTCACTCTCTCGCTCACTCTCTCGCTCACTCTCTCGCTCACTCTCTCGCTCACTCTCTCGCTCACTCTTTCGCTCTCTCGCTCGCTCTCACTCGCTCAATCTCTCGCTCAATCTCTCGCTCGCTCACTCTCTCGCTCACTCTCTCGCTCACTCGCTCGCTCACTCTCTCGCTCACTCTCTCACTCACTCTCTCGCTCACTCTCTCGCTCACTCTTTCGCTCTCTCGCTCACTCTCTCGCTCACTCTCTCGGTCACTCTCTCGCTCTCTCTCGTTCTGCACGCAGCCCTTCTCGCAGTCCGACGGCCTCCTCGTTAATCTGCACCCTCCCACCCTCCACACCATTTCTTCGTGTGCCATGAAGGGGCAGTTCCCGAAACGTCGCCTAACTGGAGCGACACAGTCGCCTGTTATACAGCGCGGTGATTTGCGTACCCACGGGGTAAAGCGCATACCGTGTTAACAACCCACACGGTTTCCGCCGTTCCAATCCGGGTAACGACAATTCTATTTGTTTGGAACTTTGTAGGATGAACGTTGATATTTATAAGGGGCACGGGGGGTGATCAATAAGGTCTGTATTGGTCTGTGATAAGGTAGAGCACTAAGGGGTTGACAGGCGTGTATTGGTGAGTGTAGTGGCGAGTGTGGTAGTGGTTATTGTCGATGTATTTGTGTTTCTACCTTGTGATGGGACTTTGTAAGATGATAGCTGAGATTCATAAGGGGCACGGGGGGGTGATCAATAAGGTCTGTAATTATCCCGTGATAATGTAGGGCACTGATAAGGGGTTGACAGGTTTGTAATCGCAGTGGTAAGGAAATGTTGTGCTTCTTTGTTGTGTTGAGACGATAAATATTCAAAAGAACCGCACCGATCTATCGATTGCGCTGAGAGAATCGGAGGTGAACGTGGACACCCACACCCTGCAAACGTCTCTGAAAGGATTCATGTCGTCCCAAGGTCTTGGCAGTCGGAGTGATCGTCACGCTTGATGATTTTTTTTGGTCCGGACGCAGCCATCGTGATGAACGCCGGTGGGGCAAGCGATAAAGATTCGGACGAAAACTCGCTCGTTTATTTAAAAAACAAACTACGAAAGTGAAAAGACGCGACCCGCCGCTACGTTCCCTTAAAAAAAATAGATATTCATAAGCAACTTAACTGTCACACCGCATCTTAGAATTCGGCAAGAGCTACACTTGCCGACTTGTAAATGCACGCAAAGCCGATTCCGTACGAAATCGTACTCCCCAAGGGGAGTGTGATTCTTAGAGGCGGCTGGGTTTGGCTCAGCCGGCACTCCTGAGAACCTGGGTTCGATCCAGGTTGAGGCCACCTGCAATCAAAACGGATTTCTCTCTTCTAGGTTCTTTCGGTAAAGTCACGTTGAAGGGAAATAATAAAATAATAAAAATAAAACATAAAATAATTCTCACGACGTTTAATTCAGACGCTGTCTTCTCGACAGACCTATTTTTCACCTGAGGACGGCTGCTTGCGTTGTGGCCGAAACGTCGTGAGAATTATTTTATTATGTTTTATTTTTATTATTTTATTATTTCCCTTCTACGTGACTTTACCGAAAGAACCAAGCATACGTGATATCGACGTAGTTGCCATCAAAGCGGGTGCTCAGGTTCAGTGAGTTGATGGTAAAAGCCTGGTCACCAATGACTCGCATAGAGACCCACAGACTCACATAGAGACCCACAGACTCACATAGAGACCTGTAGACTTAGACAGAGACCCATAGACTTGCATAGACCGAGCTGGGATTAAACTGGGTTCTCAAACGCAATAAAAATCCTGATCACAGAGCCGAAGCTGGCACCGCTGACAACCCTGCGCTGGTGGGAATCAAACGTTTCGGCCGCCGCCCGCAATAAAAAAAAAAAAACCCCGACTCCTCTCAGCGTTGCCGAGTTGACCGGTTCAGCCGCAATGGACCAACGAACCGCGCGCCGAAACACACCGAGTACAATCTGGTTGGCAACTTTCCGTAGCCAATCGCGGGCTCGGGTCTTGCGAGTTCGTCGCGTGTCTCCTGAGCGGCGGCTGCGTGGATCTGGCGGAGGCGGAGAAGGCGTTGGAGCGGGAGTGCAGCAGCGGCTACGATGGCATCTTCAACGGATCACTCAAAACATGACTGTATTTTTAAATCCTTTATATTAAGTTCGCTTGCTTGCTTGCGTGCTTGCGTGCTTGCTTGCTTGCTTACGACCGTGCAAATCTTTCGGTCGTTTTTTAACCCACTTCCCGTGATCCAATCGAGCTGACATTTTGCACAGACTCGTTGTGCGTGACAAATAATTTTCGTGAAAATTTTTTTCCAAAATTTGACACTGTTTAGGGAAAAAAATTACATATTTAATTACCAATTGCTTAATGGTGGCAGACAATCATCTGACCCATAGGTGGCAGCCATCTTAAGCCAGAGGACGAGAGGACTCTAGCCGCCACACATATAAAGGATTTAGAGTGAAAAACTTTGTTTTTACGGGTTAATTTTTTACCCTTCTATCTGGCAACAAAACTGACACCTTTTTTTTACGAGGAGTCATGTTTGCATAGACCACAATACCTGCAGTCGTAATACAAACAAAAAAACACAACTCTGATAATGTACGCACTGTCCTTGAAGTTGATTGGTCCACACCCGAGACAGCTTTCCTTAAAGCCTAGTCTCACATGGATGTTGGACCAGATGACGCCAAAAGTCGAAACATATCCCGGCTCTGGAGAACACCGTCACAGCTGCTGCTCCACCTCCTCCCGCTCCTCCGTCCCTCCCTCGTCGTCGCCGCTGGGCTACTCAGGCAGCTCGCTGTAGTAGTATCGCGTCGCCGCGTCCGTCAGCTCCCAGCCGCCGGCTCGCACCTCGATGAGCTCCAGCAGCAGCAGGCGCGACAGAGACGGCAAGTCGGGGCCCAGCAGGAACGCGTCGCGCAGGGCGCAGAAGAGCTCGTCCATGCGTGAGTCGCCCGCCGGTCCGGCCGCCGCCACCGCCACCGCCGCCGCCTCTTCCAAGCCTTCGCCGATGCGCTGCAGCTCGCGCGCCAGGCAGTCGATCTGCCGGGCCGGAGGAAAGGCTTACGGGGGGAGGTGGGGGGGGGGGATTCCAAGCGGCGACGTCCGTGCGTGTGTGCCTGTGCGCGGAGCGGTTAGCGCGCGAAAGTGAGCGAGAGAGTGAGCGAGAGAGTGAGCGAGAGAGTGACCGAGAGAGTGAGCGAGAGAGTGAGCGAGAGAGTGAGCGAGAAAGTGAGCGAAAGAGTGAGCGAGAGAGTGAGTGAGAGAGTGAGCGAGAAAGTGAGCGAGAGAGTGAGCGAGAGAGTGAGCGAGAGAGTGAGCGAGAGAGTGAGCGAAAGAGTGAGCGAGAGAGTGACCGAGAGAGTGAGCGAGAGAGTGGGCGAGAGAGTGAGCGAGAGAGTGAGCGAGAGAGTGAGCGAGAGAGTGAGCGAGAGAGTGAGCGAAAGAGTGAGCGAGAGAGTGACCGAGAGAGTGAGCGAGAGAGTGAGCGAGAAAGTGAGCGAGAGAGTGAGCGAGAGAGTGAGCGAGAGAGTGAGCGAGAGAGTGAGCGAGAGAGTGAGCGAGAGAGTGAGCGAAAGAGTGAGCGAGAGAGTGAGCGAGAGAGTGAGCGAGAGAGTGAGCGAGAGAGTGAGCGAAAGAGTGAGAGAGAGAGTGACCGAGAGAGTGAGCGAGAGAGCGAGAAAGTGAGCGAGAGAGTGAGCGAGAGAGTGAGCGAGAGAGTGAGCGAGAGAGTGACCGAGAGAGTGACCGAGAGAGTGAGCGAAAGAGTGAGCGAGAGAGTGACCGAGAGAGTGAGCGAGAGAGCGAGAAAGTGAGCGAGAGAGTGAGCGAGAGAGTGAGCGAGAGAGTGAGCGAGAGAGTGACCGAGAGAGTGACCGAGAGAGTGAGCGAGAGAGTGAGCGAGAGAGTGAGCGAGAAAGTGAGCGAAAGAGTGAGCGAGAGAGTGAGCGAGAGAGTGAGTGAGAGAGTGAGCAAAAGAGTGAGCGAGAGAGTGACCGAGAGAGTGAGCGAGAGAGTGAGCGAAAGAGTGAGCGAGAGAGTGACCGAGAGAGTGACCGAGAGAGTGAGCGAGAGAGTGAGCGAGAGAGTGAGCGAGAGAGTGAGCGAGAGAGTGAGCGAGAGAGTGAGCGAGAGAGTGAGCGAGAGAGTGAGCGAAAGAGTGAGCGAGAGAGTGACCAAGAGAGTGAGCGAGAGAGTGAGCGAGAGAGTGAGCGAGAGAGTGAGCGAAAGAGTGAGCGAGAGAGTGACCGAGAGAGTGAGCGAGAGAGTGAGTGAAAGAGTGAGCGAGAGAGTGACCGAGAGAGTGACCGAGAGAGTGAGCGAGAGAGTGAGCGAGAGAGTGAGCGAGAGAGTGAGCGAGAGAGTGACCGAGAGAGTGAGCGAGAGAGTGAGCGAGAGAGTGACCGAGAGAGTGAGCGAGAGAGTGAGTGAAAGAGTGAGCGAGAGAGTGACCGAGAGAGTGAGCGAGAGAGTGAGCGAGAGAGTGAGCGAGAGAGTGCGCTACGAACCCGGTGACCAGAGTTCGATTCAAACTCGTACTCGTAAAGGCGCCCGAGTCAGGAGTCGAACACCCCAGGGGGGGTGGGGGGAGAAATACCTCTTGGGGATTGCACACGGCGTCGGGCTGGGCGAGGCGAGTGAGGCAGTCGTGGATGGGCCCCACCAACGCGACCATGGGGGCGCCGTTCACCTGCCACGGAGAACGCGGTGAGTTTTACGTTTAATAATTGTTTTTTTTACCCTTTTATCTGGCAACAAAACTGACACCTTTTTTTATCAAGGAGTCATGTTTGCATTGACCACAATACCTGCGGTCGGAATACAAAAAAAAACACAACTCTGATAATGTATGCACTGTCCTTGAAGTTGATTGGTCCACACCCGAGACAGCTTTCCTTAGAGCCTAGTCTCACATGGTGTTGGACCAGATGATGCCAAAAGGCGCACGACCAATCAACTTCAAGGACAGTGCATACATTATCAGAGTTGTGTTTTTTGTTTGCATTACGACCGCAGGTTTTGTGGTCTATGCAAACATGACTCCTCGTAAAAAAGGTGTCAGTTTTGTTGCCAGTATCAATAAATATTCCGATTCCGATGACCGTAATTGTCGTGGTAGACCAGAGCCGCGTGACGTCGGGAGCTCGGAACCGGCCCAGCGTGCCGGGTTCGGCCGTTCGTGTCGCGTGCGAGCCCCCCGGCCCGTCGCTAGCTTCGAGACGTCGCTACTCGCGCGCGAGCCGAACCACCGCCCCCGCCGCGTCACCTTGACGTGGTCGAAGAGGTTGCACATGAGGGTGACGAAAAGCACCCATCGCTGCACGTCGTCCTTCCGCGTCTCCTCGCGCCGCCCAAACTCCGTCTGCAGCTGCGTGAGGAGGTGGCGCCTGAACAAGGCCGAGGCTCCAGCCTTACTCTCCGCCTAGGCGCAAACGCAGGGACAGAGATCCACACTCACCCGTAAAGCCTCAGGACCTGTTGGGGCGAGCGCTGTTAGCGAGTGGCACCTACGAAGGCCGGCACGTGCACGCCAAGGGAGTCGGTAGCCAGCACCACACACTGCCTCGATCGCCAGTGGCGATGATTGCACACAACACCAGGTACTCATTTGAGGCCGAGTCGAGCGAGGGATGGCCCAGGACCGGTTCTGATAATCCTCAATAGTGTTGGCCTTGAGTGGGAATCGAACTTGGGTCGCTGGCTTTGTAGTGCAGCGCGCTAACCACGACACTACTGCCCTTCGCGAGCTAAAGGCAAAGGCGCACGCGCACACGTGTGCGCACACACACGTGTGCGTGTACACAAGAACAAAAACAATATATAGAGAGGCATAGTTATACCCTGTGTAGCCTTATCAAAACAGCACATCACAATTCATCTTCTTGGTTCTTTCGGTAAAGTCACGTAGAAGGGAAATAATAAAATAATAAAAATAAAACATAATAAAATACAATTCTCACGACGTTTCGGCCACAACGCAAGCAGCCGTCCTCAGGTGAAGAACAGGTCTGTCGGAAAGACAGCCCTGTTCTTCACTGATGACAACACGATATTCTATCTCTGGAGGCACCTGCATGATGGCGTGGCAGATTTTGCCCGCCTGCTTGCAAAATGCCGGGTCCTTCAGCGCCACGTTGACCACCGTCACGGCGGCTTTCTGCAGGTCCACCGCCTCCGGTTCTGCAGCACGAACAAGGGGGTTGAAGGTCACACAGGGTGAGCGCGAATGGGCGTCTAATTAAGGCGACAGTCACCACCCACCCTCCAAGGGTCGGATGTGTGAGGCTGCATTGTGTTTTGCTAAATGCAGCAATTCTAGATTTGAAGCTTTCGTGACTGCAAGGATTCATACTCTTTGGTTTTTTCGGTAAAGTCACATAGGTGAAAAATTTATAATAAAAAAATAGAAATAATAAAATAAAATTTCTATAATTATTTCCATTATTTTAGAAAAAAAAATTCATTTATATTATTATTTACATTATTTTAGAATGTTTTTATCTTTTATTTCTAAATTTTTTTATTTCTATTATTATTTCTATTATTTTTTATAGAAATAAATATTTTTTTATTTCTATTATTTTAGAAATATTTTTTTTTCTTCTATTATTATTTCTATTTTTTTTATTACAAATAAAAACAAATATTTCTATTATTTTTTATTTTGTATTAGAAATAAAAATAGAAATAAATTGTTTCATTTTTTATTTCTATTATTATTTCTATTATTTTTAGAATTTTTTTTTTACCTACGTGACTTTACAGAAAAAACCTAAGAGTATAAAATGCAGCAAGTCCTCGATTAACGCGGGAGTAGATGCGTTCCCGAAGAGCGCCGCGTTCAGCGGAAACAATCTCCCCGCGAATAATAATAATAGTGCAGCAACAGTAGAGTTTGGCGAGATACGATGCACACACGTGCGGTTAGGTGGCTATGTGGATTGTCAAGTCACATCGCACGGATTGCAACTGCTTAGCGAGGGGATAGACCATGGCTGATGATGGTGGTGGTGTTGATTGTGATGGTGTTGATTGTGATGGTATTGATTGTGATGATGGTGGTGTTGATTGTGATGATAGTGGTGTTCATTGTGATGATGGTGGTGTTGATTGTGATGATGGTGTTGATTGTGATGTTGATTGTGATGATGTTGATTGTGATGATGGTGGTGTTGATTGTGATGATGATGGTGTTGATTGTGATGATGGTGGTGTTAATTGTGATGATGGTGTTGATAGTGATGATGGTGGTGTTGATTGTGATGATGGTGGTGTTGATTGTGATGATGTTGGTGTTGATTGTGATGATGTTGATTGTGATGATGTTGTTGTTGATTGTGATGATGATGATGGTGTTGATTGTGATAGTGTTGATTGTGATGATGTTGATTGTGATGATGTTGATTGTGATGATGTTGATTGTGATGATTGTGATGATGGTGGTGTTGATTGTGGTGATGATGGTGTTGATTGTGATGGTTGTGTTGATTATGATGATGGTGTTGATTGTGATGATGGTGTTGATTATGATGATGGTGTTGATTGTGATGATGATTGTGATGATGATTGTGATGGTATTGAGTGTGATGATGATGTGATGATGATGGTGTTGATTGTGATGATTGTGATGTTGATGTGATGTTGATTGTGATGATGGTGTTGATTGTGTTGATTGTGATGGTGTTGATTGTGATGATGATGGTGTTGATTGTGATGGTGTTGATTGTGATGTGATGATGATTGTGATGATGGTATTGTGATGATTGTGTTGATTGTGATGATGATTGTGATGTTGATTGTGATGATGATTGTGATGATGCTGATGTGATGATTGTGATGTTGATTGTGATGATGATTGTGATGATGCTGATGTGATGATTGTGATGTTGATTGTGATCATTGTGATGATTGTGATGATGATTGTGATGTTGATTGCGATGATTGTGTTGATTGTGATGATTGTGATGATGATTGTGATGATTGTGATGTTGATTGTGATGATGATTGTGATGATTGTGATGATGATTGTGATGATGATTGTGATGATGATTGTGATCATGATTGTGATGATGATTGTGATCATGATTGTGATGATGATTGTGATCATGATTGTGATGATGCCAAACCTTTCAAGGCCGCCTTGAGTAACCGTTTATCTTCATCGCTCGTCTGCATCTTATCAACGTGAGCCAATTCCCCTTCCATCGTGTCGTGTTTATACAACAGACTGATATTATTATCGTTATTATTATCGTTAAGTCGCCACCGCTGCCGTTGCTATCGCTAACAGTTTTACTCTATCGATGGTTTATTTTTATTTTTGTTCTTAAGAAACAAAAACGATCACAACGAGGTTCGTTAAACCGCTACCACCACCAATCAACGCGGTAGGCCCGAGAGCCGACCACGGCCTTGCCTAGCGCCTCCTGCCGCCCTCCTCGTCTCCCGGCGCGGCCGCGCGGCTAGGAAAGAGCGGTGGCCGGCGGTCGTGGAGTGCGGTTCGGGGAGGATGCAAAAGCCGAGCGATTAACACCTTCGAAGCGAGCGGGCAACGCGAATGCGTCGTGGGCATTTAGGGGCTTCGAGAGGTTTGCGAGGGGAATCCGCGGCGTGGTGAGAGTGGGAACAGCTCGGGATGAAAGGAGGCCCCGGTCGTGGTGGTTGTGGTGATGGTGGTGGTTGAAGGCCTCGCGATTGAAACCCAAGAATCTCGTTGGGTGCTTAGGATTCTTGGGTTTCGCGTTCGTTGGCGAAGTCAACACCGGGAGGCGACTTGCAGGCAGAAGTGTGTTTGACTCAGTGCGGCACCCTATCAGTAATCTCTGTCTGTCTGTCTGTGTACCGCAGATCGATAAGGTCTTCATTGGTCTGTGATAAGGGAGGCACCGATAAGGGGTTGGCAGGAATGCTGTACACTACACTACTATACACTACACTATGCACTAGTATACACTACTATACAATACACTATACACTGCACTCGTGTACACTACACTATACACTACACTACTATACACTACACTATACACTACACTATTATACACTACACTATACACTACACTACTTAACACTACACTATACACTACAGTGACTACACTATGCACTAGTATACACTACTACACACTATACACTACACTATACACTACACTATACACTACACTACTAAACACTACACTATACACTACAGTGACTACACTATGCACTAGTATACACTACTACACACTATACACTACACTATGCACTAGTATACACTACACTATGCACTAGTATACACTACACTATACACTACACTACTAAACACTATACACTACACTACTATACACTAGACACTACTCTACACTATGCACTATACTATACACTACACTACTAAACACTACACACTACACTACTATACACTACACTAAACACTACACTACTATGTACTACACTATACACTAGTATACACTACACTACTACACACTGCACGACTAAACACTACACTAGTATACACTACACTATATACTAGTATACACTACACTATACACTACACTTTTATATACTACACTATACACTACACTACTATACACTACACTATATACTAGTATACACTACGCTATACACTACACTACTATACACTACACTATACACTACACTACTATACACTACACTAGTATACACTACTAAACACTACACTATACACTACACTATACACTACACTATACACTACACTATACACTACACTACTAAACACGACACTACTATGCCGTGTCAGCCTAGACCAGGGGTCGGCAACCAAAATAACAAGAAGAGCCATTTCTTTCCAATTCGGTACAAAATTCAGTATTTCAAGAGCCGCAATGCATCTGAGTACATACGTACTCATCGTCAAGAAGCAGCCCGTAAAAAGCCGCATGCGGCTCCGGAGCCGTAGGTTGCCGACCCCTGGCCTATACGGTTTACCCCGTATTCTTGTACAGGAATTTTGAGTTTTCAGGTCCATACGGCATACAGACGTTTCAGTATGGGCACAAAAAAATAATTGTCTATTTGTGTTTCTCTCTTGTGATGGGACTTTGTAGGATGAACGTTGAGATGTTTAAGGGCACAGGGTGACCAGTGAGGTCGGAATTAGTCTGTAATAAGGTAGGACACTGATAAGGGGTTGACAGGTATGATACATGGACTACATCCGCAGAACGTGAAGAACCAGTGGCATCTACATCTAGTGTAGTGTATAGTAGTGTAGTATATAGTAGTGTCGTGTATAGTGTAGTGTATAGTAGTATATAGTGTAGTGTATAGTGTAGTGTATAGTAGTGTATAGTGTAGTGTATAGTGTAGTGTATAGTAGTGTAGTGTATAGTAGTGTATAGTGTAGTGTATAGTGCAGTGTATAGTAGTGTATAATAGTGTAGTGTATAGCGTAGTGTATAGTAGTGTATAGTGTAGTGTATAGTGTAGTGTATAGTAGTATAGTAGTGTATAATAGTGTATAGTAGTATAGTAGTGTATAGTAGTGTATAGTAGCAGTGTAGTGTGTAGTGTAGTATATAGTACTGTAGTGTATAATGTAGTGTATAGTGCAGTGTATAGTAGTGTATAGTGTAGTGTATAGTGTAGTGTATAGTAGTGTATAGTGTAGTGTTTAGTGTAGTGTATAGTAGTGTATAGTGTAGTGTAGTGTATAGTGCAGTGTATAGTAGTGTATAGTGTAGTGTGTAGTGTAATGTATAGTGTAGTGTATAGTAGTGTATAGTGTAGTGTATAGTGTAGTGTATAGTAGTGTAGTGTATAGTAGTGTAGTGTATAATGTAGTGTATAGCAGTGTAGTGTATAGTAGTATAGTGTATAGTAGTGTAGTGTATAATGTAGTGTATAGTGTAGTGTATAGTAGTGTATAGTGTCGTGTATAGAAGTGTAGTGTATAATGTAGTGTATAGTGGTTGACACGGTCTGGTAACGCCACCTTGTGGATGCTGCGAGCAACTGCATCGGCCACCGCACGCCACGCGCTGCGAGAGCATGCGCGTGAAAGCTTACTGATCGAGCCACGGAAACGAAACATCGGACACCGACCCGTGAAAACGCACACGAGCCTTGAGCGCAGCGGCGAACGCTTCTCCTGGACGTTGGTACGAAAGAGCTTTGGAGCTTATCGGATTCCTACAGGGGGTGAACGGATCGTAGTCAGCCTGACGATTCTAGATTTGAAGCTTTCGTGACTGCAAGGATTCATATTCTTAGGTTTTTTCGGTAAAGTCACCGTGTAGGTAAAAAATTGAAATTAATAAAAGTAAAAAAAAATCACGACGTTTCGGAGGCAACACAAGCCTCCGTCTTCAGGTGGAACCGTCACAGCCACGACAGCTGTTACTTGATACAGCTGTCGTGGCTGTGACGGTTCCACCTGAAGACGGAAGCTTGTGTTGCCTCCGAAACGTCGTGATTTTTATTTAAATCCTTTTTATTAAGTTAACTTGCTTGCTTGCTTAGGACCGTGCAAATCTTTCGGTCGTTTTTTTAACCCACTTCCCGGGATCCAATCGAGCTGACATTTTCCACACAGACTCGTGCGTGACAATTCATGTTCGTGAAAAAAAAATCCTAAATTTTACACTTTTTAGAACAAAAATATTAGAATGTTGTCATGCAATCATCTGACCCATAGGTGGCAGCCATCTCAAGCCAGAGGACGAGAGGACTCTAGCCGCCACGCATATAAAGGATTTATAGTGAAAAACTTTGTTTTTACGGGTTATACTTGTTTTTATTTTACTTTTATTAATTTAAATGTTTTACCTACGTGACTTTACCGAAAAAAACTAAGAAGCCTGACGATTGTCCGTGGCAAATCATGGAATGGCTGAATGAGTGGGGAGGGTTGTGGTGGTGGTGGTGTTGGCTCTGGGGAGCGGTGGCGCAGCGGTTAGCGCCACGCTGCGCTATGAACCCGGCGACCCGGAGTTCGATTCCCGGCGTACTTCCCGACATGCAACAAACTGGAAATTTGCCATGTGGGTACTTTCCAGACTGTACACCATGCACAAATTATAAAAATACAACTTTTGTGGGGTTTTTTTGGTGGGGGGGGGGGGGGGGCGGAGCTCAATAATGCATTTATTTTTTGCACGGCAAGTGAGCTGTTTTTTAACCCACTTCCCGTGATCCAATCGAGCTGACATTTTGCACACAGACTCGTTGTGCGTGACAATTTATTTTCGTGAAATTTTTTTTGCTAAATTTGACACTTTGTAGGAAATCATTTTATTTATTTAATTACCAATTGCTTAATGCTGCCAGGCAATCATCTGACCCATAGGTGGCAGCCATCTCAAGCCAGAGGACGAGAGGACTCTAGCCGCCACGCATATAAAGGATTTATAGTGAAAAACTTTGTTTTTACGGGTTATTTTTTGTTATCTGACAGCATAACGGTGCCGCGACCGGCTCCAATCATCGTTCACTGGGGAGTGGGAATAACCTCCCCACCCCCACCCCGTGTGGAGGTGTGGCCATCGATACAAATCCAATCTGCTCCACCCTCCTCCTCCTCCTACCTCCTTCCTCCTCCCTCCCTCCTCCTCCTCCCTCCCTCCTCCTCTTCCCTCCATCCTCCTCCCTCCCTCCTCCTCCTCCCTCCCTCCTCCTCCTCCCTCCCTCCTCCCTCCACCTCCCTCCCTCCTCCCTCCCTCCTCCTCCTCCTCTCTCCCTCCTCCTCCTCCTCCCTCCTCCTCCTCCCTCCCTCCTCCTCCTCCTCTCTCCCTCCCTCCTCCTCCCTCCATCCTCCCTCCCTCCTCCTCCTCTCTCCCCCCTCCTCCCTCCATCCTCTTCCCTCCATCCTCCCTCCCTCCTCCTCCTCCTCCCTCCTCCTCCTCCCTCCCTCCATCTCTTCCCTCCTCCCTCCCTCCTCCTCCCTCCCTCCTCCTCCTCCCTCCCTCCATCTCTTCCCTCCTCCCTCCCTCCCTCCCTCCCTCCTCCTCCTCCCTCCCTCCATCTCTTCCCTCCTCCCTCCCTCCTCCTCCCTCCCTCCTCCCTCCCTCCTCCTCCTCCCTCCCTCCATCTCTTCCCTCCTCCCTCCCTCCCTCCTCCTCCATCCTCCTCCCTCCTCCTCCCTCCCTCCCTCCATCTCTTCCCTCCTCCCTCCCTCCCTCCCTCCTCCTCCTCCCTCCCTCCTCCTCCTCCATCCTCCTCCCTCCATCCTCCCTCCTCCTCCTCCCTCCTCCATCTCTTCCTCCTCCCTCCCTCCATCTCTTCCCTCCTCCCTCCCTCCTCCTCCTCCCTCCTCCTCCTCCCTCCTCTTCCCTCCTCCCTCCCTCCTCCCTCCCTCCATCTCTTCCTCCTCCCTCCCTCCATCTCTTCCCTCCTCCCTCCTCCTCCCTCCCTCCTCCTCCTCCCTCCCTCCATCTCTTCCCTCCTCCCTCCCTCCTCCTCCCTCCCTCCTCCTCCTCCCTCCTCCTCCATCCTCCTCCCTCCTCCTCCCTCCCTCCCTCCATCTCTTCCCTCCTCCCTCCCTCCATCTCTTCCCTCCTCCCTCCCTCCCTCCCTCCTCCTCCTCCCTCCCTCCATCTCTTCCCTCCTCCCTCCCTCCTCCTCCCTCCCTCCTCCTCCTCCCTCCCTCCTCCTCCTCCCTCCCTCCATCTCTTCCCTCCTCCCTCCCTCCTCCTCCCTCCTCCTCCTCCCTCCTCCCTCCCTCCATCTCTTCCCTCCTCCCTCCCTCCTCCTCCCTCCTCCTCCTCCCTCCTCCCTCCCTCCATCTCTTCCCTCCTCCCTCCCTCCTCCTCCCTCCTCCTCCTCCCTCCTCCCTCCCTCCATCTCTTCCCTCCTCCCTCCCTCCTCCTCCCTCCTCCTCCTCCCTCCCTCCCTCCCTCCATCTCTTCCCTCCTCCCTCCCTTCTCCATCCTCCTCCCTCCCCCCTCCCTGCTCTTCATCCCCCGCACGCCTCCATCGCGAGGCGGGGAGGGAATCGCAGCGGGGCTCTCAGACTTGGCCACGTCGCCACGGGCATCTGCCGACAGCAGGAGCCGCTCTGTCGGAGACACAGAGACACGGAGACAAACAGACACGGAGACACGGAGACAGAGACACAGAGACACGGGGAGACACGGAGACACAGAGACACAGACACGGGGCATCTGCCGACAGCAGGAGCCGCTCTGTCGGAGACGCGGACACGGAGAGACAGATACAGAGACAGAGAGACAGATACAGAGACACAGAGACAGAGAGACAGATACAGAGACACAGAGACAGAGAGACATAGACACGGAGACACAGATACAGAGAAACAGACACAGACATAGACACAGAGAGACAGATACAGAGACACAGACACGGAGACAGACACAGAGACACAGAGACACGGAGACATAGACACGGAGACAGACACGGAGACACAGAGACAGACACAGACGCGGAGACACGGAGACAGACAGATACAGAGACACGGAGACACAGACAGATACAGAGAGACAGAGACACGGAGACACTGAGACACAGAGACACGGAGACAGAGACACGGAGACACAGAGACAGAGAGACAGAGAGACACAGACACTAAGCGATACAATCGAGACAACGAGAGAAATCCGTGCACAAACAGACACAGATACAGAGAGACAGAGACACAGACATAAACACGGAGACACAGAGACAGAGAGACAGAGAGACACAGACACTAAGCGATACAATCGAGACAACGAGAGAAATCCGTACACAGACAGACACAGAGAGACAGACAGACACGGAGAGACAGCTCGAGATGGAGGAGTATGAGATTGTGGAAGATGAGCCCTGGTACGATCATCGCGACCTGGAGCAGGGTGAGCCTCGTGCACCCTGCTGCACCCTGCTGCACCCTGCTGCACCCTGCTGCACTCACACTGACACACTCACACTGCCTGCTGCACTCACTGACACTGACACACACTGCCTGCTGCACTCACACTCACACACTGACATACACACTGCCTGCTGCACCCTGCTGCACACACACTCACACACTGACAGCTGAACCCTGCTGCACACACACTCACACACACTGACTCACACTCCCTGCTGCACCACACTCACACACACTGACACACACACACACACACTGACACACTGACACACACACACACTGACACAACAAAGATCCCCCGTATAGCCTTAACAGACTGTAGGGGCAAGTGCTGTTAGCGAGCACCTATGAAGGCCGGAACGGTACACGAGGGGGTGGGTGGCCAGCACCACGCCCGACCGCCTTTGTCTCCCTAGCGGCGATGTTTACACATCGCACTAGGTACTCATTTGAGGCTGAGTCGACCTAGGGGAGGGCCCAGGACCGGTTGAGATAATCGTCACTGGTGCTTTCCGTGAGCGGGAATCGAACCCGGGTCGCCAGGTTCGCAGTGCAGCGCGCGAACCGCTACACACACACTCACTCACACACTGACACACACACTCACACACTGACACACACTCACTGACACACACACTCACTGACACACACACTCACACACTGACACACACACACACTGACACACACACTCACTGACACACACACTCACACACTGACACACACACTGACACACACACACACTGACACACACACACTGACACACACACTCACTGACACACACACACTCACTGACACACACTGACACACACACACACTCACTCACACACTGACACACACACTCACACACTGACACACACTCACTGACACACACACTCACACACTGACACACACACTCACACACGTTGACACACTCACACACTGACAAACACACACTCACACACTCACACACTGACACACTCACACACTGACACACTCACACACTGACACACACTCACTGACACACACACTCACACACTGACACACACACTCACACACTGACACACACACACACTGACACACACACACACTGACACACACACTCACTGACACACACACTCACACACTGACACACACACACACTGACACACACACTCACACACTGACACACACACTCACACACTGACACACACACTCACACACTGACACACACACACACTGACACACACACACACTGACACACACACTCACTGACACACACACTCACTGACACACACACTCACACACTGACACACACACTCACACACTGACAAACACACACTCACACACTGACACACACACACACTCACTGACACACACACACACACACTGACACACACACTCACACACTGACACACACACTCACACACTGACACACACACTGACACACACACACACTGACACACACACTCACTGACACACACACTCACTGACACACACACTCACACACTGACACACACACTGACACACACACTCACACACTGACACACACACTCACACACTGACACAACAACAACAACCGCCATTCGCCACTAAGTGGCGGTGACGTCACCACGATGCTTGTGCCAGGCCAAGTGCACCTTGAGGCCACGTGAAGTGTCGAACGCCCGCTGGCAGGAGGTCACGGGGCAGACCCAGGTGCCACGGGTCGACTGACCGAGATGACCGAGATGACTGGCTGATGCACCACCTGTGCCCCCTACTGTACCAACTTGCTGTGCTTTAGCCACCCGGCGCTCCGCTCGTTGTTGTGAGCGTCGCTCCTCCGCCCTCCGTTGTTGTTGGAGGGCGACTGCCTCCAACTGCCCAGTAGCAGCATCCTTCACGAGCCTCCTCCACAGAGGCCGATCTTGACACCGCTGGTACCGGTCATCGGCAAGTCCACTCAGCTCCACGTCCTCCTGTACCACATCACTCCATCTCTTCTCCAGCCCGTGCCGCGCCCGTCTAGCCCCCTCGATCCGGCCGAACAAAAGCTGTTTAGGCATGCGGTGGCTGGGCATGCGGGCTACATGACCCAGCCAACGCAGCCTTGCCTGCCGGAGGAGCTCACCGATGGGACTTTGCCCAGATCTTTCAAGGATTTGTGAGCTCCTCACACAATCCAGCCTGGTTAAACCCAGGATGGATCGTAGGCAGGCCAGCCTAAATGTTTCCAACCAGCGAAGACGCTCCATTAGGGGGGTCCACGTTTCGCAAGCGTAGAGAAGGGAGGGAATGACTGTGGCCGAGAAGACTTGAAGCTTCGTGCGGAGCGACAGACCAGGTAGCTTCCACACAGCGTCACACAACCGATGAAAAGATATTGCCGCTCGACTGATTCGGAGTGAGACCTCTGCTGTTAAACTGGAGCCGGTCATAAGCACACTGCCCAGGTATGGGAAACTCTCCACTCTCTCCACTACTGCCCCATCACCGATTGGGATTTGTGGGGGTGGAGTGTCCGATGGTACAAAATACCCAGGCAGGTGTTTAGTTTTGGTGGGGCTGATGGTAAGGCCCCACCTCTTAGTGGCACGCTCCAGTCTCAGCAGCAGCGTCTCCAACTCCTCATCTGAATGTGCAGTTATTACCAAATCATCGGCATACATAACGTGGTTGACCAATAGGGAGCCATCCCTTGATCGCACCCGGGCGTTGATCAGCCTCCCATTATATCTACCTAATGGAGATTCCCCCGGTATAGCTATTGAAGGCTTCACGAACTACGTGGTCAAAATAGATGTTAAATAATTTGGGAGCCAGTGGACATTCCTGTCTCACCCCAAGGTGTACAGGGAAAGGCTCTGACTCCTGGCCACGTAGTTTAACCCGGGCCCGCTCACCATCATGAAGGTCCTTAATGATCGTGAGCAGAGGGTCAGGGACTCCGAAAGCACGAAGAACAACCCAGAGCCCAGGTCTACTGATGGTATCCTAGGCCTTGACCAGGTCAATAAAGCAGAGATGTAGGTCTTGTTGAAATTCCCTACACCTCTGCTGTAGCAGACGGACAGAAAATATGGCATCTGTGCAGGACCGCCCTTTCCTGAAACCGCATTGGGGCTCCGCAAGCCTCTCCTCAGCGTGCCTAGCAAGGCGATGTTGAATAATCCTTGCCAGGACCTTTCCCGGCACACTGAGGGGTGAGATGCCCCTGTAGTTGTTACAGTCGGTACGGTCCCCCTTGTTAAAGATGGGGACCACCAGGGAATCCTTCCAATCCTGCGGAACCCGTCCAGCGGTCCAGACTTGTTATGATGTCATATAGGGCAGTCTGTGCACAAACGCCCTCCCTCAGTATTTCGCTTGGGAGATCATCTCTGTCCGGTGCCTTTCCTGGTCTCAGACTCTGGATCGCCTTCAGTACTTCCTCAACAGATGGCACCTCAGCCATACACTCACAGGGGGTGACCTCTTCCAATATTTGAGGCACCGCAGCCTCAGCAGGGTTATCCCCACTTTGTGCCATGATGTTTTCCTGCCTGAGGGATTTCCCCTCTCCCAGGACCTCACAGAAATGCTCAGCAAATCTGCAAACCTGTTCCTGGGGGTCAGATATTGGATCACCGTTTTTTCCCCTAATGATGGTAATAGGTGTGGCGCTGCAGGTTACTTTTTTGATGGAGTTAAATAGTGATTTGTGATCGCGGGCCACTGAGGCAGACTCCATCTCCTCAGCAACCTGCGACCACCACCCATCCTTGCAGCGCCTTACGGCTCTCCGAACCTCTGAGCGAAGGCTGCGGTAAGCCTCCTCATTCTCTGACGTGGGATGCTGTAGCCGATGAGAGTGGGCCTGTCGCTTTTTCTTAACTATCCTGAACACCTCCTGTCAGCCAGGGTCTCTGGGGAGGTCTAGACCGCGTACCCAAAGCAGCTATTGCAGCTGCATGAGTCACAGTCCTAAACCTCGCCCATTTACCCTCGACATCAGGAGGAGTGGGGGACGATGCCAACCCCAGCTGCAAGTGATGATGAAATTCTCACTTGCAACTTTCATCAGCTAACTGAGACCAGGCCACTTTAGGTTGGAATGGGGTCCTGGGTGTACACCCACCACCGGAATGGAAGAATGGAAGGCGCATCTTACAGATGACTAGTCGATGGTCAGAGGGCAGATCAGCTCCATGGTAGATCCTGGTGTCAAGGACATGGGCTCGCATCCGCTGGTCCATCACTATGTAGTCCAGCAGATGTTCTTGCTTGGACCCGGCATGCATCCATGATGTTGTGTGGATGCGCCGATTCTGGAAGAGCGTGTTGGTAATTACAAGCCCATGGGCTGCACAAAAATATAGCAGTCTCCTACCGTTGTTATTGAGCTGATCTGGCCCATGCCTTCCAATCACTCCAGACCAGGTGCCAGCATCATGACCAACTCGGGCATTGAAGTCACCCAACAAGATGACTCTGTCCCGAGTGGCCACTTTAGCCAGCACCTGTGACAGGAGGTCATAGAAGGCATCTGACTCACCGGCTTTGCCTGCATCCCTCCACAGATGTTCGTCTTCGGTGGGGGCATAAGTAACCACGACCACCACTCCTCGCCTCCGGTTGATGGGAAGGCGAGCCCAAAGTAGCCTGGGGCTTACAGCTTCCCACACCTCACCGCCACGCTCCCACGCCCCCTTCATTCTTTTGTTCAGAAGAAGAGCCACACCCTGTTGTTTGGCAGTCTCCTGCCCCGAGTAGAGGACTGTCCACCCCTCATGGTGGCAGGAGCCAGAACCGGTCCACCGGACCTCCTGAATGCCACAGAGATCCAGGCGGTACCGGTCCAGCTCCCGACAAAGGCGTGGCAGCCTCTCCTCCGCAGTGAGCATTCGAACATTCCACGTGGCCATCCGTAATGGCTTTTCGTTGTTTCTGGAGGAGCCCCGAGGGTGAAGATTCAATCTCCTGGCTCCGCCAATTGGGGTTTGGCCAGGAGACGTCATAGACGCCTGTCCCCCCGGGGCCTCCGACACAAGCTTATAAGTTACATATTTATTTTTAAGTCGTAGTTTCGTGGTAATGACTTGAAGGTGGAGGGGTTACCAGCCCATCGCACCCGTCCAGAGCCCCCGTTTAGCCACTGTGGTGGTCACAGACACTATGAGGGGAGAGGGCCAATGAGGCATTGGCCCTCCCCCCACAGCACTGTCCACGACAGTGTTGCCCATCCGGCACTGCGAGGAGGTAGGGGGTTTAGTAGTAGGTTTTTACCCTTTAAACTGGTACAAAAGCTGACACCTTTATACAAGGCATCATGTTTGCAATAACCACAACACAAGCAGTCAAAATGCAAACAAAAAGAAACAACTCTGATAATGATATGCACTGTCTTTGAAGTTGATTTCATTTTGACTGCTTGTGTTGTGGTTATTGCAAACATGATGCCTTCTATAAAGGTGTCAGTTTTGTACAAGTTTAAAGGGTAAAAACCTACTACTATATTTTGCCACTGGTAAAGGAGGTCTCATAGTGAGGTAGGGGGTGCATCTTCTTGGTTCTTTCGGTAAAGTCACGTAGAATGGAAATAATAAAATAATAAAAATAAAACATAATAAAATATTTCTCACGACGTTTCGGCCACAACGCAAGCAGCCGTCCGCAGGTGAAGAACAGGTCTGTCGGGGCGGACGGCTGCTTGCGTTGTGGCCGAAACGTCGGGAGAATTATTTTATTATGTTTTATTTTTATTATTTTATGATTTCCCTTCTACGTGACTTTACCGAAAGAACCAAGAAGATGAATCCCTGCAGTCACGAAAGCTTTAAATCGAAATATATTATTTTTATTATTTTATTATTTCCCTTCTACGTGACTTTACCGAAAGAACCAAGAAGATGAATCCCTGCAGTCACGAAAGCTTTAAATCGAAATATATTATGTTTATTATTTTATTATTTCCCTTCTACGTGACTTTACCGAAAGAACCAAGAAGATGAATCCCTGCAGTCACCAAAGCTTTAAATCGAAATATATTATTTTTATTATTTTATTATTTCCCTTCTACGTGACTTTACCGAAAGAACCAAGAAGATGAATCCCTGCAGTCACGAAAGCTTTAAATCGAAAGATAGGGGGTCGTTTTTGCCGGACGACGATTGCTCGCGTTCGCGATCGAAACGTCGCGATCTGTTCTTTTTCTACCAACGAAAAAACCGCAGAGCGCGCGTGCGAACCGTCTGCACGTGCGCGCGCGCGTCAAACTTCTTTTGCGCCGTACGTAGTGGCCAATGGTTGTCGCTGCCGCCCCTCCACGCAGACTTGCAGCTGGCGGCCGAGCTGGGGAAGACGCTGCTGGAGCGCAACACGGAGCTGGAGGAGACGCTGCAGCAGCTGTACGCCGCAAACCAGGAGCAGGCGCAGGAACTCGAGGTAGGGCACGCGCACCGTGGACTCGCGGACTCGCGGACTGGTCGCGGAGTCACGGACTCACGGAGTCACGGAGTCACGGAGTCACGGACTCACGGACTCACGGAGTCACGGACTCACAGGCTCACGGAGTCACGGAGTCACGGACTGGTCGCGGAGTCATGGACTCACGGACTCACAGAGTCACGGGCTCACGGACTCACGGACTCACAGACTCACGAAGTCACGGAGTCACGGAGTCACGGACTCACAGGCTCACGGACTCACAGGCTCACGGACTCACAGGCTCACGGACTCACGGAGTCACGGAGTCACGGACTCACGGACTCACAGGCTCACGGAGTCACGGACTCACAGGCTCACGGACTCACAGACTCACGGAGTCACAGACTCACGGAGTCACGGACTCACAGACTCATAGGCTCACGGAGTCACGAAGCAACGGAGTCACGGACTCCTCACGGACTCACGGACTCTCAGACTCCTCACGGACTCACGGACTCACAGGCTCACGGAGTCACGGAGTCACGGACTGCTCACAGACTCACAGACTCACGGACTCTCAGACTCCTCACGAACTCACGGACTCACAAGCTCACGGAGTCACGGACTCACAGGCTCACGCACACACAGACTCACGCACTCACAGACTCACAGGCTCACGGAGTCACGGACTCACAGGCTCACGCACTCGCAGACTCACGCACTCACAGGCTCACAGACTCACAGACTCACAGGCTCACGGGCTCGCAGACTCACAGGCTCACGGGCTCGCGGACTCACAGGCTCACGGAGTCACGGACTCACAGGCTCACGGAGTCACAGGCTCACGCACTCGCGGACTCACAGGCTCACGGAGTCACGGAGTCACAGGCTCACGGGCTCACGGAGTCACAGGCTCACGCACTCACGGACTCACAGGCTCACGCACTCACGGACTCACAGGCTCACGGAGTCACGGACTCACAGGCTCACGGAGTCACAGGCTCACGCACTCGCGGACTCACAGGCTCACGGAGTCACGGAGTCACAGGCTCACGCACTCACGGACTCACAGGCTCACGGGCTCACGGAGTCACAGGCTCACGGGCTCACGGAGTCACAGGCTCACGCACTCACGGACTCACAGGCTCACGCACTCACGGACTCACAGGCTCACGGAGTCACGGACTCACAGGCTCACGCACTCGCGGACTCACAGGCTCACGGGCTCACGGACTCACAGGCTCACGGAGTCACGGACTCACAGGCTCACGGAGTCACAAGCTCACAGGCTCACGGAGTCACGGACTCACAGGCTCACGCACTCACGGACTCACAGACTCACGGAGTCACGGACTCACAGACTCACAGACTCACGGAGTCACGGACTCACAGGTTCACGGAGTCACAAGCTCACAGGCTCACGTAGTCACGGACTGTTCACAGGCTCACGTAGTCACGGACTGTTCACAGGCTCACGGAGTCACGCACTCGCGGACTCGAGGACTTTTATTTAAGAGCAAAACAGAAGGATTTCTCCACAAATCTGTCTGTCTCGCCTGATGAAGCTGGTTGTAATTTCTGGTGAAAACGTCCCCCCCCCCACCCCCCTCCCCCCCTCCCCCCTACCCCCCCTCCCCCGTCCCAGTACCAGAGCCGGCAGGCGGAGCTGCTGCGCCAGGTGAACGAGCAGCACGCGCGCGTGTACGAGCAGCTGGACAACGCGTCACGTGACCTCGAGACGGACAACCAGCGGCTGCTGCTCGAGAACAAGGCCGGTCAGCACCGCGTGGAGAGGTGCTGGGGTGGGGGGAGGGGTGGGTGGGGGGGTGGTGGGGGGGGTGGTGGGGGGGGGGGGTGGGGGAGGGGTGGGGGTGAGGTGGGGGGGAGGGGTGGTGGGTGGGGTGGAGGGGTGGTGGGTGGGGGGGGTGGTGGGGTGGGGGTGGGGGAGAGGTGCTGGGGTGGGGGGAGGGGGGGTGTGGGGGGTGGGGGGGAGGGGTGGTGGGAGGGGTGGGGGGAGGGGTGGTGGTGGGGGGTGGGGTGGTGGTGGGGGGGAGGGGTGGGGGGGGGTGGGGGAGGGGTGGGGGGGGTGGGAGGGAGGGGTGGGGCTGGGTGGGGAGGGGAGGGTGGGGAGGGGTCGTGGTAGGGGGGAGGGGTGGGGCTGGGTGGGGGGTGGGAGGGGTGGGGCTGGGTGGGGAGGGGCTGGTCACCCCGTGGTGCCCTTATAAAACTCAACGTTTAACCTACTCACGCCGGCTTGTGCCCGCCCTCACAGTCGGCCATATTTGCGGAATACACCACGCCGCCGTTGACCCTGCAGGCCATTGACCGAGCAACCCAACGTGTTCCTACCAGCTCCCTCCACAGGAATGTGTTTATTTTTCATGATACTGTGATACTGCCATGAGAAAGGGTTCCATAATATCGTCCCTCGTCACCACCACCATGGTTGTAGCTGCTCAACGCGAGCTGTGAATGATCTGCTACGCGTGGCATTGCCCTTGTCCTGTTCGCCTTTTGACGCTGTTCTCTGTTCTGACGCTGGTGGTGAGACAGGGCCATGAACCAAGGCTGCTGTGTCTCTGGTGTAGGACAGTCAGTGTCAAAAACGATGCAAGTCGATTATTACACTGGTCAACAAGCAAAAAATTAACCCGTAAAAACAAAGTTTTTCACTATAAATCCTTTATATGCGTGGCGGCTCGAGTCCTCTCGTCAACTGGCTTGAGATGGCTGCCACCTATGGGTCAGATAATTGCCTGCCACCATTAAGCAATTGCTAATTAAATATAAAAAAAAATTCTAAAAAGTGTAAAATTTTGGAGAAAAATTTTTCACGAAAATAAATTGTCACGCACAACGAGTCTGTGTGCAAAATGTCAGCTCGATTGGATCACGGGAAGTGGGTTAAAAAACGACCGAAAGATTTGCACGGTCGGTACATTTCACTAAACCGTGTTTAAAAAAGAGTTTTTCTAAATATTACTTATTTTTCATACTCATCCATCAGGAAGAACGTAATCAACCAGGTAGGGTGTTGACTGTTATGTTATCCGACTCTCTGTTGTATCACATTACATTTCTAAGTATACTAGATTTGTGTTGCTATTTCATTTACACCTGATGATGATTGCTTGTGTTGCAATCGAAACGTCGTATGCTAGTATTTAATTTATTATTTCATCTTTACACGTCACTTTACCGAAAGAACCAAAGAGCAATTCCTGCAGTCACGAAAGCCCCAAATTAAGTTTACTCACCTGTCAACCCCGATCCTGGCCGGGCTTCAAGAATCCCAACCGACCGAGAGACAAACGACAAACCAAACAACAAATATCATTTCACACGACCTCCTGTGTACCCGGCGAGGACAGACAAACATCCACGCTCCCACTCCCATCGCTGCCCTGTGCCATCAGGCTTACGGCCACCGTTCAGGACCTCCAGGACCAGGTGGAGCAGCTGCAGCAGCAGCGGCTGGAGGAGCTGTCGGTGGCGCGGGGAAGGAGGGCCCACCCGGCCAAGGTGCACCCCCGTGACGCGCGGGACCTCACGTCGACACCCAGACCGTCATGCTCGACGCGCAGGTGAGCCGCGTGCTTGTGGGTGGAGGGGGCGGGTGGAGGGGGCGACCGACGGGACCCCCATGTGACTCGGCGGGAGTGGCGCAGCGTGTGATTGGCCGAGGGTCGTGGTGTAAAGAAAGACGTGGGGGGCGGGGGGGGCGGCTACAATTTCTACCCCCACCCCCACCTCCACCTATGGGGCAGTTGCACCGCCTGCGCACTCGGAAGTGACGCAAACTCACCCAGAATGCACTGCGCACCACGCGTCACTAAAGGGAGACGTTGAGCGCTTGGTGAGGGCTCTTCCGGCTGAACAGGAGTAATATATAATCGTAATAGCAACTCGTTCCTAGGCTGACATGCTGCTCTGTTTAGAACTGCTGTTGGTGTTTGTTGTCCGTCCCCCGCACCTCCGATTGGCGTGGTGGGCGACGTACGGTGCGAAAGAAGTTCCACACCCACCCATGCAACAACAATAACAACAATAATGCGTCTCGCGTATCGTCGACGGTTCCCGGTTTAACCGACGGGCGCCGTTCGTTCGCAGGAGCGCATCTTGCGGGGCGCTACCGGACCGCTCCGTGTCGCCTCGGCACGACCGCCACGACCACCACCTCCACCTCCTGCCGCCACCGCCGCCGCCGTCACCGCCGCGACCCCGCGACTTGGCCTCCGAGCTCGCCCTCGAGCGCCGCCGGCGCCTCGCGGCCGAGTCGACGCTCGAGTCGGCGGCCCGCGACAGCGGCGCGGCCCTCGCGGCGCTCGCCGACGAGCTGGCGGCCGCCCGCGACGGCGCCGCCGCGCTCGAGGCCGAGCTGCGGGAGCTGCGGGGGAGGGACTCCTCCGGTCACCAGAGCGACGGCGCCGCCGCCGCCGGCGGGGGGAGGAGGAGGAGGCGGCGCTCGCCGACGCGCGACGCCGACCTCCTGGTCGCGGCCGCCAAGCACGTGCCCGAAAGCGACGACGGCGACGACGGTGGCCGGCGTGGGGCCGCGTCGACGCCGGGCGGAACCGGCGACGGCGGGGGGGACGCGTCGCCGAGGCTCGGCGTGCGGAAGAGCAGCAGCGAGACGGCGCTCGACGCCATCGGAGGGGACGGCGGGCGCGCGCCGAGGGGCGGCGGCTTGGGCCTGGGCGGCATGAGCATCCTGAGCGAGGTGGACGAGCGCTACCACGCGCTGCTGGAGCGACACGACGAGCTGCTCGCGCGCCAGCGGCGCCCCAGCTTCGTAGCCGCGCTCCGGGCGGGGCGCAGCGCCAACGCCGCCGTGCAAACATCGGCGGAGGGCGACGGCGGTGGTGACGATGGTGGCGGCGGTGGAGGCGTTAAACTCCAGCGCCGGCTGAGCCAGCACCAGCCGGAGTACAAGGCGCTGTTCGAAGAGATTTTCTTGCGCATTCAAAGGAGCCGAGCCGCGGACGACACGGACACCTGACACGGAGAAGGGAATTCCCGTAATGTCGCTTTTTTTGTTGGGTTAGAATCGCGCGTAAGTATATAAATGTGTCGTTAAGCCCACCGCCACCCGACACAGCCAACTAGTGAGGTTTGTCACTTGAAAAGAACGTGGCCGATTCGTTACCAGTGTAATAAAGGTCGTTGAGGCGACTTCTGGAATCCGTCTTTTATTCAACTTGTATACAGCTTTTCCTTCACACTGCTGACAGGCAGCGTGAAGGGATAGAGAGAGACGCACTGCCACGTGGCAGCCTGGACCACGTGGCAGCCTGGACCACATGGCAGCCTGGACCACGTGGCAGCCTGGACCACGTGGCAGCCCGGAGCCCCGCTCCCGCGTGGCCTCCTTCCTCTGTTCGTTCCCGTTCTGACCACGTGTCGTTCGTCTCCACCCCTATTTAATACCCGGGTCACGTGGTACGTTTCCCCCGATCCTGTTTAGCCTCCGTGGAATATTCCAGGCCCCCTAGTAAGCTGCCGGGACCACGCCCCTGACTCGTCTCCCCATTGGCTGTGGCCAAAGCCAGCAGGGCCAATCATCTACTTACAGCTGTCACCTTTCCATTACGTCAGGGCCACGCCCCTAGGCTTCCCCCCCATTGGCTGTAGACCAGGACCGGCAGAGCCAATCATCGTGACGAGTTGTGATACGTCATTGAGCCGGATATATCCTCACGTTACACTAGTACAGCACACCAGTTGTGTGTGGGAGAACAAAGCGTAGTACTAATTGGCTGTGCCAGGTGATGGCGGGTTTAACGACACATTTATAAACCCTTTGGTTTTTTCGGTAAAGTCACGTAGGTAAAAAAATTAATCAATGAAAACAACTAAATTAAATCACGACGTTTCGGGCGCAGCACAAGCGTTCGTCTTAGTTGTTTTCATTTATTTATTTCTTACCGACGTGACTTTACCGGAAAAAACAAAGAGTATGAATCCTTGCAGTCACGAAAACTTCAAATCTAGACACATTTATATATTTACGTGATTCTAACCCAAAGAACAACTGTATCATGGCTGATATTGGTCGCGAAAGCATCCTCCTACATCTTAAAGGGAATTCCCGTGCGCTGTTTTGATAGACGTTTTCCAACCAAGGGTTGAAAGCGTTCACGCATGATGTGTCTGTCCGTCTGTCTGTCTCTTACTTGTCTGCCCGTCTGTCTCTCTGTAACGTGACGACACAATTTCTCTCGCAAAGAAGATCAAAACTCCTTTCCAACCAAGGGTTGAAAGTGTTCGCGCATGATGTGTCTGTCCGTCTGTCTCTTTGTCTGTCTGCCCGTCTGTCTCTCTGTAACGTGACGATACAATTTCTCTCGCAAAGAGGATCAAAACTCCTTTCCAACCAAGGGTTGAAAGCGTTCACGCATTACGTGTCTGCCTGTCTGTCTCTTTGTCTGTCTGCCCGTCTGTCTCTGTGTCTGTCTGCCCGTCTGTCTCTGTGTCTGTCTGCCCGTCTGTCTCTGTGTCTGTCTGCCCGTCTGTCTCTCTGTAAAGTGACGACACAATTTCTCTCGCAAAGAGGATCAAAACAACTTTCCAATCAAGGTTGCAAAATGTGAATGCACGAGCTCTGTCCGTCCATCCGTCCGTAACTTGGGGTCACGAAAACTCTCCCAAAGATGATCCAATACGAACGGACCCTTCCGAGCGCAAGGTTGCGTTGCCGTTCGTCACTGAACCGAGTGATTGATGAAGCATGCGGGACACGAGCCCAGAGCAAACTGAGGGCGCCACCGGCCGACACGGCCAATCAGTAGTGAGGGTTTGTCACGTAAACAGAAGGTGGCCAATTCGTCACTAGTACAGCAACACCGGTGTGTTGGGGAACAAAGACGAAAACGTTGATCTGTTTTGTAACATTAATCCAATGTTGTGGCTTTGTTCAAAGTTCAAAGTTCATTGATTAGGTATAGCCCTGTGAGCCATTCGGCTCTTGAATCGGGTGCAACCGCAACAAACAAAAAAACATGAACAAGAAAACATCTTAAAGTGACTGAGTGCAAACAGAAAATCCAAGAAAAGACAGCAAAATATTGCAAAAAAAGCACCGTACACCAACACTGTGCAAAAATCCCAGTGGGATGCAAGTCAAACAACAACAACCACAAGACAACTTAGATTAAGGCCATCAGTCTAACTCTGTACTACAACAAACATACATGGCCACACCAAACATCTTTTCGAAAATCACTAAAATAAAGCCATAAAAGTCAAACAACAACAACCACAAGACAACTTAGATTAAGGCCATCAGTCTAACTCTGTACTACAACAAAGAAACATGGCCAAACCGAAAAACTTTTCGAAAATCACCAAAATAAAGCAATGAAAGCAATGAAACAGTGATCATAGGAACTGTGATGGAATTTTCACAATAAACGACATAAACAACATGAATTATCAAACTCTGCAGCCATAGCTGGCTGCATGAGTCACTCCACAACAGCAGTAGGAGCATCAGTCGGAGTATCAACATTTTTCAATGCACCTTTAAGATCAGCACACTAAATCAAACACAGATCATACTTTACATACGTTGGTGTTCTCGACCGCACAACCGGTGTTGCTGTACTAGTAACAAATTGGCCACGTTCTGTTTACGTGACAACCCTCACTAGTTGGCTGTGTCGGGTGGCAGCGGGTTTAACGACACATTTATACATTCACGTGATCTAACCCGCGAAACCCTCTATTGTGGTCCTATTCTTATTTTTTTCAGAGTTCAGCACTAAGCGGCTGTGTGTTGGAGAGCGAAACCCACGACAACATTTAACGAGAGCGAGTAACCGGGAGATTCAACCGATTGTGTCGGTGGGGTCGAGAAACATCCCAGGGAAGGGGTAGTGAGTGGAAAGCTGGTCCCCTCCCGTAACATTCTAAGATAAAACAATATTGGTAACATTTTTTTTAAAAATAACAACAAAAGTCCAGTCGGTGTATTTTCTCCGGCGAATATCAATGAAATCCTATTTTTCTGAAATACATTTTTTCAGATAAAAAAATAACAATTTGGGGGGGGGGGGGGTTGGGTAGTGGGGTCTGGAGGCAATCGGCAGAGGTCGCAACCGGGTACCCGATACCCGGCTACCCGTACCCGACCAGGTTTGCGACCCTGGTGCGGCCGGGTACGGGTAGGCCGTGAGTCACTGGTGAGTCACCGTTTGTCACTCATTTCCCAACGTCTTGTCTCTTCTCACAATTCAAGTTCCTAGAATCAACCCACCCGCGCCTGCAACATGGCTTCATCCCAGAGGTCGCAATCAGGTACCCGATACCCGTACTCTACCCGATACCCGGCCGGGTATGGGTTGGGTACGGGTACGGCCGGGTACGGGTTACGGGTACCCATTTGCGACCCTGGTACGGCCGGGTACGGGTAAGGAATCAAAACCCGTTTGCGACCTCTGGCAATCGGTGGGGCTCAACGTAGACCCTCCAATATCTCTCGCCGAATCCGGCTTGTTGGGGAGTGAGGTCTTGCCACGACCTGCGAGTTTGTGACTTTTGGAGCCGGTGGCTTTAAACATTTGAGACCGTCGGCTGCTAAGTAGGCCCTGATAGCCAGGCCAAAGTCACCCAGCCACCCACGATGATCTTGGGTTCTGATCGTGAACACAAATGCGAACAGTTAAGCTATGCATTTATAAAACATTACACTGGTCAACAAAAAAAAAAACATTTTTTTCTGGCCTGGATTTTGCAGCTGTTTTAGACTAATTTCAGGGTCTTAGTTCTTTCGAAAGAACTATGAGTATGAATCCTTGCAGTCACGAAAGCTTCAAATCTAGAATTAATTTCAGGGTGCTGATTCCAAATCTGATCTCAGATTTGCTCTATCACATCTCATTTTTATGCTATCGGCATACCCCCATTTCCATTGATTTTACCCGAAATTAACTCTGTCACTTATGATTGCAAGTTGTTGCGAGTCAGTGACTGCTTTAGTGTTACAATATGGTGCTGTGTTTTTAGGATAGTGTGTTTACAATATCATTTTATGTAGATATCCACATTTAATATTTTTCTTCTTCAGTTTTTATTGAAAATGCAATATTTGATATCTCAAAAATAGACAAAAACTGATGCCAGATTTGGAATCAGCACCCCAAAATTACCTTAAAACCGTTGAAATACCTTAATGCCAGAACAAGTGTGTTGACCAGTGTTATATATATCATGTTATTATATGTACATGCACATTTTGGCAGATATATTTACAGATGAATTACATATGTGATGTATGCACGCAAGCTGCTTGAATAAAGGAGGAAATATCCTTTTTTGCGGGGGGTGTCTTGTGCCCTGTTTCAAGAATTTAAGGTTTCAATTTGCAAGGCTGTGTCCTCACCACCAAATAGTGCTTAACTCTGCCCGGCGTCACCACATCAGCGAAGCGAAGCAAGCAAGGATGTCACGTCCTGAGTTCTAGTAGCGTAACAGGGTTGATGGACCACCACCACCACCACTACTAAACAACACAGGTGTTCTAGCAAACCTGTCAACCCCTTATCAGTGCCCTATCTTATTAAATCCTTTATATTAAGTTTGCTTGCTTGCTTGCTTAGGACCGTGCAAATCTTTCGGTCGTTTTTTAACCCACTTCCCGTGATCCAATCGAGCTGACATTTTGCACACAGACTCGTTGTGCGTGACAATTTATGTTCGTGAAATTTTTTTTCCAAACTTTTACACTTTTTAGGGAAAAAATATTATATTTAATTACCAATTGCTTAATGGTGCAATGCAATCATCTGACCCATAGGTGGCAGCCATCTCAAGCCAGAGGACGAGAGGACTCTAGCCGCCACGCATATAAAGGATTTATAGTGAAAAACTTTGTTTTTACGGGTTATACTTGTTACAGACCAATTCAGACATTAGTGGTCACTCCGTGTTCTTTCTAAATCTCAACGTTCATCCCACAAAGTCCCATCACAAGGGAGAAATACAATTAGATTTGTTTTATTTGAGGGTTGGGAGGGGGGGTGAATCTATACTCTTTGGTTCTTTCGGTAAAGTCACGTGGGTAGAAAATAAAATATTTATTTTATTTTATACCTAAAATAAAATATTACAAATATTTATTTTATTTTATACCTAAAATCAAATATTTTTCATATTTATTTTATTTTATACCTAAAATAAAATATTTTAAATATTTATTTTATTTTATACCTAAAATAAAATATTTTTAATATTTATTTTATTTTATACCTAAAATAAAATATTAAAATATTTATTTTATACCTAAAATAATTATTTAAAATATTTATTTTATTTTATACCTACGTGACTTTACCGAAAGAACCAAAGAGTACAGATTTTTTTTCGCTCAATTTCCCCTGTACAAGAATACGGGAAAACCATATCGGTTGACACGGTATCTTTTAGGGTTACGGATGGAGCTTCGTTGTGAGCAACAGAGTGGAGTGCAACATTGATCAGTCGGTTTAACACGGACTTGTAGGGATTTCGCAACCAGGGTTATCCATAAGAGATTTTTTTTTGTCTTTTTGGTTCTTTCGGTAAAGTCAAGTAGAAGGATAATAATAAAATAATAAAACATCAATGGGAGAGTGGTGATAGGAAGCTTAACGTATTGCGGAAACCCAGCCCGTAGCGGAGGTTAAATTCGATTTAAAGCTTTAAAGCTTTAAATCGAAATTTATACAAAACTTTAAGCTTTAAAAAGCTATTACTACACGTATTACTACACTATTATGACTGCACTATTAATACTACACGAGTATTATTACTACTGCTACACTAGCATTACACTATTATGACTACAGTAGTAATATTACTACACTAGAAATGTTACTACACGAATAATATTACTACTGCACTACGATTACTACACTATTATTACCACTGGTACACTTACCAAACGCGTTACGTACATCGCACAAAAACGACCCTCGCGACCTTCCATCCCCTCCCCCCCACCCACCCACCTTACGTCATCACAACTCGGCACACTAAAAAATCCACCATCTTACATAAGGGGTAGTGTCCGAGACGCCCCCCCCCCGCACGTTGATGACGTCAGATCTGTCCATTGACATTTTGTTGCGGGGTTGCCCCCCCCTACGTAAGATGGCGGCCGCCACCTTCACGAGCACCTCAGGTTGACGTCATATCCGCCCGTTGACATCTTGGTGCGGGGTTCCCACCCATTCCTCCAACCACCCCACGTAAGATGGCGGCCGCGACCTACACTAGCACTCCCCGAATGACGTCATATCCGCCCGGCGACATCTTGGTGCGGGGTTCCCACCCACTCCTCCAACTACCCCACGTAAGATGGCGGCCGCGACCTACACTAGCACTCCCCGTGTGACGTCATATCCGCCCGTTGACATCTTGGTGCGGGGTTCCCACCCACCCACTCACCCCCTACTCCAACCACCACCCGCCCCACCCCACGTAAGATGGCGGCCGCGACCTTCGCTTGCGCGCACGTGGAGGAAGGGCGAAGTTGAAGAGGGAGTAGGAGGTAGCAGCAGTAGCTAGCAGCAGTAGGAAGAAGAGGAGTAGGGTGTAGCAGCAGGTAGCAGCAGTAGCTAGCAGCAGTAGTAGCTAGCAGCAGCAGTAGCTAGCAGCAGTAGGAGGAAGAGGAGTAGGGTGTAGCAGCAGGTAGCAGCAGCAGTAGCTAGCAGCAGTAGGAGGAAGAGGAGTAGGGTGTAGCAGCAGGTAGCAGCAGCAGTAGCTAGCAGCAGTAGGAGGAAGAGGAGTAGGGTGTAGCAGCAGGTAGCAGCAGTAGCTAGCAGCAGTAGGAGGAAGAGGAGTAGGGTGTAGCAGCAGGTAGCAGCAGCAGTAGGTAGCAGCAGTAGGAGGAAGAGGAGTAGGGTGCAGGAGGAGGTAGCAGCAGTAGCTAGCTAGCAGTAGGAGTAGAGCAGCAGCGAAGAAGGAGAGAGTATTATTATTTGGTTCTTTCGGTTAAGTCACGTCTAAAGATAAAATAAAAAATTAAATAAAATTGTTTTTATTTAATTTATTATTTTATCTTTAGACGTGACTTAACCGAATAATAATTCCTGCAGTCACGAAAGTTCTAAAATTAAGAAGGAGAGGAGTAGTAGTAGGAGCAGGTCTCTGTGGTAGCAATGGCTTGGGCACTGCAGACACGCTCGCTTGCCCTGCGCATGTCGTCGTGCCCCTGGGCACCGCTGCTGCTACAACAACGTGGCTCCTCCGTCTACCGGAGCATCTACAGCTTGGACAAGCTGCACCCGCCAGGCGGGGCAGACGTTCAGGCGACGTTGAGCAGCGCCAAGGTGGGACCACGTTGTTGAGATGGTGTGGAGTGGACTGAACGCATGATGTGGCAAACACACACGTTGGGTTTAGGCAGTTTTCTTGTACAAGACACTAAGGTACACTATACACTATTATACTACACTACTATACACTATACAGTACTAATATACACTACACTACTATACACTACACTATACACTACACTAATATACACTACTATACACTACACTATACACTACTATACACTACATTATACACTACACTATACACTACACTAATATACACTACACTAATATACACTACACTACTAAACACTACACTACTATACACTACATGATACACTACACTACTATACACTACACTACTATACACCACACTATACACTACACTATACACTACTACACACTACACTAATATACACTACACTACTATACACTACATGATACACTACAGTAAACACTACACTACTATACATTACACTACTATACACTACACTACTATACACTACACGATACACTACACTACTATACACTACACTACTATACACTACACTACTATACACTACACTACTATACACTACACTATACACTACTATACACTACACTATACACTACTATACACTACACTACTATACACTACACTATACACTACTATACACTACACTATACACTACTATACACTACACTATACACTACACTACTACACACACTACACTATACACTACACTATACACTACTACACTATACACTACTATACACTACTACACTATACACTACACTATACACTACTACACTATACACTACTACACTATACACTACTATACACTATACACTACACTATACACTACACTATACACTACTATACACTACACTGTACACTACACTATACACTACACTATACACTACACTACTATACACTACACTATACACTACACTATACACTACACTACTACACACTACACTACTACACACTACACTATACACTACATTATACACTACACTACTATACACTACACTATACACTACTATACACTGCACTACTACACACTACACTATACACTACATTATACACTACACTACTATACACTACATTATACACTACACTATACACTACTATACACTACACTATACACTACATTATACACTACACTACTATACACTACTATATACTACACTATACACTACTATACACTACACTACTATACACTACACTACTATACACTACACTATACACTACATGATACACTACACTATACACTACACTATACACTACATTATACACTACACTACTATGACCTGGCAAGCCGTCCCATCGCCGTCGGTCGGTTCGCGTTGCAAGGGACGCCGCGCTGTGAACATTCTGAAGCAGGACAGGATTTCGTCGGTAACTTTTTGTGAACGGAGGAGTTCCGAGTCTAACGATTGGATACTCTGGTGTGGTGTGGTTTGGGGTGTTGTGTTGTGGGGTGTGGGGTGGTGTGGTGTGGGGTGGTGTGGTGTGGGGTGTTGTGGGGTGGTGTGGTGTGGGGTGGTGTGTTGTGGTGTGTTGTGGGGTGGTGTTGGGTGGAGTGGGGTGGTGTGGTGTGGGGTGTTGTGGTGTGGTGTGGGGTGGTGTGTTGTGGTGTGTTGTGGGGTGGTGTTGGGTGGAGTGGGGTGGTTTGGTGTGGGGTGGTTTGGTGTGGGATGGTGTGTTGTGGTGTGTTGTGGTGTGGGGTGGTGAGTTGTGGTGTTGGGTGGAGTGGGGTGGTTTGTTGTGGGATGGTGTGGTGTGGGGTGGTGTGTTGTGGTGCCGTGTGGTGTGGTGCCGTGTGGTAACGTGTGTTGTGGGGTGGTGTGTTGCGGTGTTGTGGTGTGGAATGGTGTGGGGTGGTGAGTTGTGGGGTGGTGTGGGTGTGTGGTGTGGGTGTGTTGTGGTGTTGGGTGGAGTGGTGTGGTGGTGGTGTGTTGTGGGGTGTTGTGGTGCCGTGTGGTAATGTGTGGTGTGCTGTGGTGTGTTGCGGTGCCGTGTGGTGCCGTGTGGTAACGTGTGGTGTGCTGTGGTGTGCTGCGGTGTTGTCGTGCAACGCAGGAGACGAGCGGAGAGACTCATGAATACGCCGGAGACATTCCTGTTGGTGAGTCTCGCAGCGTCCCCCCTGTCCAATGCTCTTCTCCATTGCCAGGCATCAGCATCATCATCATCATCGGAGTCATCATAAAAGTAGTGCAGTCAACTCGGGGAAGCTGACTGCCAGGATGGTGTAATGGTTATCACTACACCGCTCTGGTGGTTAGCACGAGATCAATGTGGTGTGGTGCCGTGTGGTGACTTTACCGAAAGAACCAAGAAGATACACCACTCTGTCGGGCATTGGAGGAGGCTCGTGAAGGACACTGCTGGTCCATTTGGAGGCTTCTTCTTGGTTCTTTCGGTAATGTCACGTAGAAGGGAAATAATAAAATAATAAAACATATCCCTTCTACGTGACTTTACCGCAAGCACCAAGAAGATGAATCCCTGCAGTCACGAAAGCTTTAAAATAATTTTATTATGTTTTATTTTTATTATATTATTATTTCCCTTCTACGTGACTTTACCGAAAGAACCAAGAAGATGAATCCCTGCAGTCACGAAAGCTTTAAATCGAAATTTAAGCGCATGCACGTTTAGCGCTTGAGGTGCATTCCTGAAGAAGTAGTCACACCTCGGTATACGACCGCTTTGAAATACGTCGAGTTTGGTATACGTCGTGTTTTGACGAGAAATAAATGTCTTGGGATACGACGTCTCGCTTGGGATACGACGTCTTGCGACGAGTTACGTGGACTGCCACGGTGGTGAGATGTTGACTACCTCGCCTGGTATGCCGGGGGTCGTGGGTTTGATTCCCGACGTGTGTATATTTGGGAGTTTGCGTGTCTCTCTCTCTCTCCCCGTGGCCGCGTGGATTTTTCTCCACGTCCTCCGGTTTTTACCCTCCACATTTAGAATCGTCACGCGTTTTGAGTTCCTTGGTTGCTGTACATTTCCACATGAGCCACTTTGCCGAGCCTTACCTGGTAAAGTAATAAAATAGTTAAATTTAGATTTAAAGCTTTCGTGACTGCAGGGATTCATCTTCTTGGTTCTTTCGGTAAAGTCACGTAGAAGGGAAATAATAAAACAATAAAAAAAATTTTATTAGTAAAAAATATTTATTTTATTATAAATAATAAAAATTATATAATAAAATATATATATAATAAAATAATAATAGTTAAATTTGTTAATAGTTTTTTATTATTATTTTATTATAAATAATACAAATTATTTTTATTAATAAAACAACAAGGCTACTCCTACAACTAATTGGGAATGGGACGCAAGCGTAGGATTAATCACCCTGTCGCTGGCCGCCTTTGGGGAGGGTGTATCGTGTGAAAGGCCGAAACACCCTAGGAACCAAAGGTTCACTAGTGATGATGCGCTCCCCAAATTTCACCAGGCTCACTGTTCATGAACTCTTGGAAGTGCTTGCACAAAGGATAGTAACATCTCATCCTGTGTTCTTGGAATCTGATTATTATTTCCCTTCTACGTGACTTTACCGAAAGAACCAAGAAGAATAAAATACTTAATCGTTTAGTTGACTGCCGGTTTAACCACGTGTGGCTGCGTTTCTATTTAATTTCAGATCGTTTAAAAGTTTCCTACAGCCGGAGCAGCGGACCTGGAGGACAAAACGTGAACAAAGGTGAGACAAAGGCAAAAGATCTCCCCCCCCCCCATCGTGTACGTAGCCTTAACAGACTGCCGGGGCAAGTGCTGTTCGAGTTTTAGTTTTCAGTTTTATTAGGAATAGCCCTGTGAGCCATTCGGCTCTTGAATCGGGTGCAACCGCAACAAACAAAAAACAAGAAAACATCTTAAAGTGACTATGTGACTCTGCGCAAACAGAAAAATCCAGGAAAAAACTGCAAAGTCTTCCAGAAAAAAAGCACCGTACACCAACGCTGTGTGCAATAATCCCAGTGGGATGCAAGTCAAACAACCACAACAACCACAAGACAACTTAGATTAAAGCCATCATTGTAACTCCATACTACAACAAACAAAACATGGCCAAACCAAAAAAACTTTTCGAAATCGCCAAAATAAAGCCATGAAAGCAATGTAACGGTGATCATAGGAACTGTGACTGACATTTTTCGATTTAAAGCTTTCGTGACTGCAGGGATTCATCTTCTTGGTTCTTTCGGTAAAGTCACGTAGAAGGGAAATAATAAAACGTCGTGAGAATTATTTTATTATGTTTTATTTTTATTATTTTATTACTTCCCTTCTACGTGACTTTACCGAAAGAACCAAGAAGATGTGACTGACATTTCACGACGAGCACGCAGCACCTTCGACAATAAACGCTGGGCCTAGGCGCTGTTCGGTGTCCGCTGTAGTTGTGCTCTTAGGCCCGATTTTATGTTCTCAAGATGACGATGCCTTCCGCCTGTCCCCGCAGTGAACACCAAAGCCGAGGTTCGGTTCCACGTGGCGAACGCCGACTGGCTGCCGCAGGACATCCGGGACAAGCTGCAGGAAAAGGTGACCGGGGGCGGCGATTGTTGACGATTTATCGGTCGTGGATACGTCCGCTGCAAATCTATTCTGAATATGCTTAGGTTTTTTAAAAATCCTTTATATTAAGTTCGCTTGCTTGCTTGCGCGCTTACGACCGTGCAAATCTTTCGGTCGTTTTTTAACCCACTTCCCGTGATCCAATCGAGCTGACATTTTGCACACAGACTCGTTGTGCGTGACAATTTATTTTCGTGAAATTTTTTTTCCAAAATGTTACACTTTTTAGGAAAAAATAAATTATATTTAATTACCAATTGCTTAATGGTGGCAGGCAATCATCTGACCCATAGGTGGCAGCCATCTCAAGCCAGAGGACGAGAGGACTCTAGCCGCCACGCATATAAAGGATTTATAGTGAAAAACTTTGTTTTTACAGGTTCATTTTTTTACACTATGAGACCTCCTTTACCAGTGGCAAAATATAGTAGTAGGTTTTTACCCTTTAAACTGGTACAAAAATGCACGCAAAAAAAACAACTCTGATAATGATTATCAGAGTTGTTTCTTTTTGTTTGCATTTTGACTACTTGTGTTGTGGTTATTGAAAACATGATGCCTTTGTATAAAGGTGTCAGTTTTGTACCAGTTGAAAGGGTAAAAACCTATTACTATATTTTGCCACTGGTAAAGGAGGTCTCATAGTGTAAATGCTTACCCCGAGCTCTCAATACTCTGATAGTGCGCTGTGTTTGAGTTGTACGCCTTTTGGCGTCATCTGGTCCAACACCAATGGAGACTAGGCTCTAAGAAAAGCTGTCTCGGGTGTGGACCAATCAACTTCAAGGACAGTGCATATCATTATCATCATCATCATCAGAGTTGTTTCTTTTTGTTTGCATTTTGACTACTTGTGTTGTGGTTATTGCAAACATGATGCCTTGTATAAAGGTGTCAGTTTTTTGTACCAGTTGAAAGGGTAAAAACCTATCACTATATCCCTTGGATACCCTGGCCAGACACTTATATGTGTCTACATGTGCCCTCTGTTGCCGCTGCTGTTTTGGGTTTAATAAACAAACCAAAAAAGTTGATTTAAAGCTTTCGTGACTGCAGGGATTCATCTTCTTGGTTCTTTCGGTAAAGTCACGTAGAAGGGGAATAATAAAATAATAAAAATAAAACATAATAAAAATAAAACATTATAAAATACAATTCTCACGACGTTTCATTCAGACGCTGTCTTTCCGACAGACCTGTTCTTCACCTGAGGACGGCTGCTTGCGTTGTGGCCGAAACGTCGTGAGAATTATTTTATTACGTTTTATTTTTATTATTTTATTATTTCCCTTCTACGTGACTTTACCGAAAGAACCAAGAAGACAAAAAAGTTTAATTTGCCGATTGGAGAGGGCAACACGGTGGTGGGAAGTTCTCAGCCGGTCCGGTTCACACTCAAAATGTTTTTCTTTCTGTGTCCATCTCCTTCACCAAACTTTCACCTTCGTTTTATTTTCCCCGCCTACCCGACGGCTCAGTACAAGCACCGCATCGTGCGCTCCGGCGAGCTGATCGTGACGTCGCAGGCGAGCCGCTACCAGATGCGCAACCTGTCCGACTGCCTGCTCAAGCTGCGCCTGCTCATCGGCGAGGCGGTCACCACCCTGGTGCACGAACGCCGGCAGGAGAGCCCCGAGGAAGCGGCCGTCCGACGCGGCAGGTGATGACGGCGCTTGGGAAGGGCGGGGGGGGGTGGGGGGAGGTGATCGCAGGACCTTGAAGCGCGTGCCGGGCTGAGTTTCGTGAGCAGATGTTCACGCGCTGACAGGTTCAAGACCATCTACCTATACGTTTTGTGTACATTATATAAGGTCACGCTCATGACGGGGACAAAGCACTTGCCACAAAATGAACCACCAATACTTTCTTCTTGGTTCTTTCGGTAAAGTCGCCACGTAGAAGGGAAATAATAAAATAACAATAAAACATAATAAAATAATATAATAATGTAGAATAATATAATGTTTTATTATGTTTTATTTATATTATTTTATTATTTCCCTTCTACGTGACTTTACCGAAAGAACCAAGAAGATGAATCCCTGCAGTCACGGAAGCTTTAAATCGACATTTAATGTTGTTCTTGGTTCTTTCGGTAAAGTCACGTAGAAGGGAAATAATGAAATAATAACAAAATATTAAACAATTAAATGCTCACCACGTTTCGACTGCAACACAAGCAATCATCATCAGGTGTGAAATCCACAGCAATAATTTTTTTTCTTCAAATTTTCTTGCTGTAGATTCCACACCTGATGATGATTGCTTGTGTTGCAGTCGAAACGTCGTGAGAATTTACATTGTTTTATATTTTTATTATTTTATTATTTCCCTTCTACGTGGCGACTTTACCGAAAGAACCAAGAAGATGAATCCCTGCAGTCACGAAAGCTTTACATCGAAAAATATTCCACTTCTGCCGTCCCTCTTGTTGTGTCGTCGCGCGCAGGGTGGAAGCAATGAACAGAGAGCGACTGAGACAAAAGAGGCTCCACTCGTCCGTCAAGAGCGATCGGCGGGACCACGACGACTGAGCTTTCGGCGGATCGAGGCTCGCTGCCACATTCGCCAAACGCCTCTCTCTCCCACAAAGCACCTTGATTCAAGCGGTGGTGGGGAGCCCACAGATTGGGTGAAGATTTCATTTCATCCGGCACCGTGGCCGCAACACCAGGCCTTGACGACGAGGAAACGTCGGCTCGCGAAAGAAGATATTCATCCTAGATTTGAAGCTTTCGTGACTGCAAGGATTCGTGTTTTTAGGTTTTTTTCGGTAAAGTCACGTAGGTAAAAAATTAATAAAAGTAAAATAAAAATAAAATAAAAATCATGACGTTTCGGAGGCAACACAAGCTTCCGTCTTCAGGTGGTACCCGAAACGTCGTGATTTTTATTTTACTTTTATTAATTTTAATTTTTTACCTACGTAACTTTACCGAGAAAACCTAAGAATAAGATATTCATCCATCGCTGCAAACGCCCTAGCCGCTCTAATCGTGAACCGATAAGAGGAATTCTTTCAACCTGGTTGTCAATTTATTTTAGTTTTCTTCTAAAATTTGCGACATGGCAGAGTAGCCCAAGTAGCCACTAGAGCAGTGGATTATTAACCTTTACTGCAGCCCAGAGGTCGCAACCGGGTACCCGATACCCGTACCCTACCCGATACCCGGCTACCCGTACCCGGCCGGGTATGGGTACTCGTTTGCGACCCTGGTGCGGCCGGGTACGGGTAGGCCGTGAGTCACTGGTGAGTCACCGTTTGTCACTCATTTCCCAACGTCTTGTCTCTTCTCACAATTCAAGTTCCTAGAATCAACCCACCCGCGCCTGCAACATGGCTTCATCCCAGAGGTCGCAATCAGGTACCTGATACCCGTACCCTACCCGTACGGGTACCTGTTTGCGACCCTGGTGCGGCCGGGTACGGGTAAGGAATCAAAACCCAATAATTGTTTTTTTACCCTTCTATCTGGCAACAAAACTGACACCTTTTTTTACAAGGAGGCATGTTTGCATAGACCACAATACCTGCAGTTTTGTTGCCAGATAGAAGGGTAAAAAAACAATTATCATATTTTTTACTGGCAAATGAGGTTCCAATGGTGAATCAAAACCCGTTTGCGACCTCTGCTGCAGCCTTGCAACCCCTTTGGCTCTCAGTGGTAATACAATGTTAATGCATCGGTTTTATGAAACGGAGTACAGTAAAACCTTGGATTGCGAGTAGCTTGGTCCGCGAGTGTTTTACAAGACGAGCAAAATTTTTAAATAAATATTAATTTGATAAACGAGCGAGGTCTTGCAATACGAGTGGTACGTGTATACGCTTTGTCTGCCGAACGTCACGTGATCACAACTGATACACGAGTGCTTTGATACACGAGTGCTTTGGGTTACAAACAAGTTTCCGGAACGAATTATGCTCGCAATCCAAGGTTTCACTGTAGTTGTAACTTACGTGCCCCGTGCTTGATTTGTGTTTCAATTTACCTTCAAAAATAATATGACCATATCTGCGTGATGCACCCCCAGCTTAAGAAGAAGAACCACTGCACTAGATGGGGTGGGGGTTGGGCCCTCTAAGAGCGCCTTCAGGTAGAGGCCTTTCCGGCAAGCAGCGTGAGAAAGCAATCGTTAGGCTGCACCGCTGCGGTCGCCGTGCAGAAGTTTCCGAACAGTTCCATTACGCCCCCGTCCCTCCTCGTTCAAAGTGGTAAAAATCCCACAGCACCCGCCCCCTCCCCTTGGTCTTGAGGCTGTTGCGGAAAACCTGGCGTCGGAGGTTCGAGGGTTTTTCAAAAGGATAAAGTGGCACACAGAGAGAAGTGTTGGAGACGCAGCAGACAACTTGAAAGGCAGAAACCCGGTATTTATTGGCTGTTAGCTGACAGCAGTTTAACACAATCCCCGCGGGGTGGGGTGGGGGTATAAAACGTGGGTGTACGAATGCCGCGCCGCGTTCCTGTACATTTGTGAACCGGAGTGTCGCCATAAAAAACATTTTCATTTACTTCAATGGCAAGTTTTTATTCGTTTCGTCGAGTTAAGAAAAGTCGGGCGGGAGGAACAGCTACTGGGAATTCCACTTTGCAAAATTCCCACAAACTGCTACGATGGGTCTCCCGCCGGGTGCTGCACCCGGTTGATCAAAGAAAAACTTTTCAAGAACCCATCTTCCTGGTTCTTTCGGTAAAGTCACGTAGAAGGGAAGTAATAAAATAATACTTTACCGAAAGAACCAAGAAGATGAATCCCTGCAGTCACGAAAGCTTTAAATCGAAATTTTCAAGAACCGTCGTCACTATTTGGTGCTGGTCCAAAACAAATCCACGCACAGGCTGACCTCGCCCCTGTGACAGAATTTTTTTTTACAAAAAAGCAAATCCAAAAATCTGAGCACGCGTACCAATTAACACCGAAGCACGCCGTGATTTCATTATCTTTGATTCGTGGTCACCATTTAAAACATTTTTTTCGTTAAATTTGTTGCTACAAATTGTGATAATGGGATCACGGGAGAGTTCGGCGCCGATTGGCTGAGTGTACGTCGCTGTCATTGGCTGAGCCGCGGGGGGTGGGGTCCGATTTGCCCAGCGTGCGTTCTCATTGGCTGAGCGACGCAAGGGGTGGCGTCTGATTGGCTCAGAGCATACGTCCCTGTCATTGGCTGAGGGGCGCGGGGTACGTTGACCTGGCCACCGCGCTTTAGAGAGGGTTTGATTTGAAAAAAATGTTAGCTAATTTTTTTTCTCCGCGACTCGGAGAGACGTAACGCATCAGCGTTTTACGGGGTCACCGCCAATATTGTATTGCTCATGCATCAGAAACAACACTGTCAGGGAAACTCATCCCCATATGTAACAATGGTACAATGACCCCCCCCTTTTAGCGCCGATTCCATTAGCGCTCGCTTCTCCAGGAACGCGTCTTGAGCGCTAAGCGAGGTCGTCAAGCTGTACAACATTACACGCGCAGTAGTGTGGGGGAAGTCGAAGGGAGCGGTGGCGCAGTGGTCGTCGCACGGCACAACGAACCTGCCGGCCTGGGTTTGTATCGTGGCTACGGCGAGCATCGGTAGTGAACGAAACCTGAGCCGATCGCGAGCAATCGTGATCAAATTTCGATTTAAAGCTTTCGTGACTGCAGGGATTCATCTTCTTGGTTCTTTCGGTCAAGTCACGTAGAAGGGAAATAATAAAATAATAAAAAGAAAACAAAATAATGAAGACCAGGTCTGTCGGGGAGACAGCGTCAGAGTCTGTCTCCCCGACAGACCTGGTCTTCACCTGAGGACGGCTGCTTGCGTTGTGGCCGAAACGTCGTGAGAATTACTTTATAATATTTTATTTTTATTATTTTATTATTTCCCTTCTACGTGACTTTACCGAAAGAACCAAGAAGAATAATCGCGATCAATCGCCAACCCCGCGCTAAAGCAACCCCCCGGTAGCTTGCACCGTGTGCAGAACTTCTTCCAACAGCGGACCGGCAACCGTAAAATTACCGTGATGTCACGTGACATGCAAGGCATTATGGGACAACTAATCCTAATGGCCGCTAACGCACCTTTTTTTAAATCCTTTATATTAAGTTCACTTGCTTGCTTACTTACGACCGTGCAAATCTTTCGGTCGTTTTTTAACCCACTTCCCGTGATCCAATCGAGCTGACATTTTGCACACAGACTCGTTGTGCGTGACCATTTCTTTTCCTGAAAATTTTTTCCAAAATGTTACACTTTTTAGGAAAAAATAAATTATATTTAATTACCAATTGCTTAATGGTGCCAGATAATCATCTGACCGATAGGTGGCAGCCATCTCAAGCCAGAGGACGAGAGGAATCTAGCCGCCACGCATATAAAGGATTTACAGTGAAAAACTTTGTTTTTACGGGTTAATTTTTTTACCATCAGCCCTCGAGCCAGATCAGAAATCGGTGCCACCTGAGGTGTCGTCAAATCTTTAGTTAGTGCCGCTTCATACACGGCGAATTACCCGATGACGCCGCTCGTTTCAAACGGTTTTTGCACAAGTTCGTCGTCAATTGCGCGCGTCAAGAAATTGGAACCTCCCGCTAAACGCTACGCTGCCGACAGCCCCGGGGCAGCAGGCTCGGGCCCAACAAAAAATTTGCGTGGCCTTCGCATTTCATCGTGACGCCGTGGTCAGCCGTAGTCAGCCGTGGGCAGCCGTGGGCAGCCGTGGTCAGCCGTGGTCAGCCGAGGACGTCGGTGGGCAGCTTGAAGTCGTAGAACGAGAAGAAGGAGACGTCTCCGGCATCCACCACGCCGAACACGAGAACCGTGTCGTCACTGCCGACGCCGCTGGTGGTGTCGCTGGTGGTGCCGGTGTCGCCGCCGCCGCGTCGCGCCAGGAGCTTCAGCGCCCGGAGATCGGGGACCGGGTCCTCAAAGCTGCCGGCGTTTTACACGGAGAGTGAGGGGGGGGGGGGGGGGAAACGGACGCTTTTCAATATTTCAACCTGCCAAGTTTGACACGTTTCATCTTGTTGGTTCTTTCGGTAAAGTCACGTAGAAGGGAATAATAAAATAATAAAACATAACAAAATACAATTCTCACGACGTTTCAGTGCTGCGCTCGTGGCCACTGACCAGCAGACACAGATGCGGGCGAGGGGGACGCCCGGCCTCGTCTTCTTGAAGTCTGTGTTGTCAGCCGAGAAGACGTCGTAGCTGATGGTGAAACTCGTGCCGCGTCTATCCTTCACCTCGCTCCCTTCCTCCTCCTCCTCCTCCTGCAGCAGCCTACAGTGCGGCACAGGCCGGCGAGAGACAAAGATAAAGGTTCCCCGTGTAGCCTCTAGCAGACCGATGTAGGGGCAAGTGCTGTTTAGCGAGCAGCTGCGAAGGCCGGCACGGCACGCGTGTGGTCAGCACCACGCCCGACACGCACAAAGGTGCTCACATTTATACATTACAGTAAAACCGTGGATTGTGAGTAACTTGGTCCGCGAGTGTTTTTCAAGACGAGCAGAGATTTTAAATAAATATTAATTTGATAAACGAGCGAGGTCTTGCAATACGCGTGGTACGTGTATACGCTTTGTCTGCCGAGCGTCACGTGATCACAACTGATACACGAGTGCTTTGGATTACAAACACGTTTGCGGAACGAATTATGCTCGCAATGCAAGGTTTTGCTGTATAAGGTTGCACTCAGATTTAAAGCTTTCGTGACTGCAGGGATTCATCTTCTTGGTTCTTTTGGTAAAGTCACGTAGAATGGAAATAATAAAATAATAAAAATAAAACATAATAAAATAATTCTCACGACGTTTCGGCCACAACGCAAGCAGCCGTCCTCAGGTGAAGACCAGGTCAGTTTAATTTTTATTATTTTATTACTTCCATTCTACGTGACTTTACCGAAAGAACCAAGAAGATGAATCCCTGCAGTCACGAAAGCTTTAAATCGAAGGTTGCACTCAGTACACACGAGGTGCTTTCTACAAATGAACCACATTCGTGGGAACATCACCCACTTAAATGTTGCCGTACCGCACCTTTACTCTCCACCAAAAGCGGAGAGCACGCAGGGAGGGTCAATGCCCCAAATATTGTTGACCTTGCTTTCACACGGTATGTGAGCAACATTGTGAGAGAGACATTGTTCTTCCATACCACAATACCATGCTCATCTCGTCAGGAAGCATACAACCATCGCACAAACTCTGGTAAATCCTCGCAGAGGCTTCTGGCTAAACATCGAACAAAGACGGGCAGATTCGCTTCTGCGGCCGTCTGGAACGCTCTTTTCCTTCCGATATTCGGAAGCCACTCGGAGCTGTGCGAGTTGAAATCTAATCTGACAACTAATTCCTGACAAACTGCCTTTTGTGCTTCGTTTGTTGTCCTTCCCCCGCACTTAGCGATTAGCACGTGACCAGGTATGGTGCGAAAGAAGTTCCACGCACGCACGCACGTACAAAGTGCCGCTAAGAAATTGATTCGTCGCTTTCGTGACTGCAGGAAATACTCTCCGGTTCTTTCGGTAAAGTCACGTAGAAAGAGAAAATTATTAATTTAATAATAGTGTCGTGACATAAGAAGGGAGGGGCTGCTGGGGGCTCTGGGACCCTGGGCGGGCCAGACGCTTAAACCTCTTGGCGCCAGGCGTTGGGTTCCCAGGCGGGTCAGACGCTTAAGCCGCTTGGCGCCGCCAAAGGGGGGGCTGTGTGTGCTCTGTGGGATATCTGGGGGCGCACACAACCCCACCCCTCGTTGGGGACGAGGCATAAAAGGGCAGCTCCCTGGACGATCAGGGCCAGTCGTAGCTCAAGACCCAAGACCCAAGACCAGCCATCTGAGGACCCTGGGACGCTGTGAGGGCCAGTGGTGGGACTCTGGAACTCCCGACTCTACGACCTTGTGAGGGCGAGTTCCAGAGCGTAGCCAGAGTAGAGTATCTAGGCTGTGTACCTAGGCTGTGTACCTGGGAGTTGTTACAGAGTATCAGGACTGTTGGACTGTTGGATTGCTGTTGGATTGTAATAAAGAAGTTACCTCTACAAGTGTCTCCGGAACCTGTTACAATAGCATACGACGTTTCGATTGCAACACAAGCGCATCATCATCATCACGTGTTATCTATCTCTGCTTACGTGTCTGTCTGTGTGTCTCCTGTTCTGTGTTGAATCTCTCTCTTAAATTTAGCAATCTTTGTAAGAGCGTAATCAACCAGGTCGGGTGTTGACTGTTGTATTAGCCGACTCTCTGTGTTGTATTGCATTGTAGTTCTAAGTTTACTAGGTTTTGTTTTCTCTTTCATTAGTACCCGATGATGGTTGCTTGTGTTGCAATCGAAACGTCGTGTGCTATTATTAAATTAAATGATAAAATACGACGTTTCGATTGCAACACAAGCAGTTGTTATCAGGAAGAACTACATTTGAGAGAGACAAAACACAGACGCGGAGACACACAGACAGACACATAAGCAGAGAGAGACAACACAGAGACACATAGAGACACACAGAGACACACACAGAGAGAGACACACAGAGACACAGACAGAGACAACAGAGACACACAGAGAGACACAAAGAGACGCACAGACACACAAGCAGACAGAGACAACACAGACACACAGAGAGACACATGTTCTGTGTCTCTCTCTGTGTCTCTGTGTTGTCTCTCTCAGCTTGTGTGTCTGTGTGTCTATGGTGTGTGTCTCTCTCTCTGTGTGTGTCTCTCTGTGTGTCTCTGTGTTGTCTCTCTCTGCTTGTGTGTCTGTCTGTGTGTCTCCGTGTCTGTGTTTTGTCTCTCTCTGTGTCTCTGTGTGTCTGTCTGTGTGTCTCCGTGTCTGTGTTTTGTCTCTCTCTCAAATGTAGTTCTACCTGATAATGACTGCTTGTGTTGCTATCGAAACGTCGTGTGCTATTATTTAATTGATGATTTTCTCTTTCTACGTCACTTTACCGAAAGAACCAAAGGGTAAAGTGCCGCTAAGCGAGCAGCTGCGAAGGCCGGCACGGCGTCGCGTGGTGCCGGTATGGACCGGTACCACGCTCGCAACGCACGCAACGCTCGCATCGCACGCAACGCACACAACGCTTGCAACACACGCAACGCACGCAACTCACGCAACGCACGCAACGCACGCAACTCACGCAACGCAACTGTGACGGCAGCGGTGTCCGAGTGCGTCACATCGCGGCGTCAGAGATCGCGGCGAAGTCTCCGAGAAAGATCCGCGCAGAATGTCCACTCACCGCGACGCGCCCTCCAGGATGTGCATGGGCGCCACAACGCTTATCTCCTGCAGCAACTCGGCTGTCGACACAACAACAACAACAGCAGCAGCAACAACAATTAACAACAATAACAAGCCGGCCAAAGCCAGTGGATTGAGCGAGCCTCTCCTTGTTAAGGTGGCCGCCGCTACGCCTATGCAGGGTGATTAAAAAATGTTTCAACACTCATATATGACTATAGTTTTTAATGGAAAAAATTAACCCGTAAAAACAAAGTTTTTCACTATAAATCCTTTATATGCGTGGCGGCTAGAGTCCTCTCGTCCTCTGGCTTGAGATGGCTGCCACCTATGGATCAGATGATTGCCTGCCACCATTAAGCAATTGGTAATTAAATATAATTTTTTTTTCCTAAAAAGTGTAAAATTTTGGAATTTTTTTTCACCAAAATAAATTGTAACGCACAACGAGTCTGTGTGCAAAATGTCAGCTCGATTGGATCACGGGAAGTGGGTTAATAAAAAACGACCGAAAGATTTGCACGGTCGTAAGCGCGCAAGCAAGCAAGCAAGTGAACTTAATATAAAGGATTTAAAAAGAACGGATAACACACTGTGACATGACAACAAAAGTGTGCTAATAGCTTTAAAACGTCAATGAGTCTCCACTTGTTCGCCATCGTTGTCAACGCGTCGCCTGGAATCTTCTCCCGGTGGTCTCCAGAGCCCAGAGGCATATTTCTCGTGGTGTTGTTGCAAATTCTCGGAAGTGTTCACATTTTACTGGTGGAAACCTCCTGGTTACACCGGCCCACAGGGGATTATTGTGTCCGTCGTGCAGGGAGGGGCTGGGTGGAGAGGGTGGGGGGTGGGAGGGGTGGGGCTGGGTGGGGAGGGGCTGGTCACCCCGTGGTGCCCTTATAAAACTCAACGTTTCACCTACTCACGCCGGCTTGTGCCCGCCCTCACAGTCGGGCATATTTGCGGAATACACCACGCCGCCGTTGACCCTGCAGGCCATTGACCGAGCAACCCAACGTTCCTACCAGCTCCCTCCACAGGAATGTGTTTTTGAAGCACCCTCCATCGCAAACGTTTGACGTTAAGGCTATTACGGGCGGGGGGATATCTTTGCCTTTGTGTCGTGGCGGAGATGGCAGTGCTGCTTGTGGTAATGGTAAGAGATGTGGTAGTGGTTAACGGGTGTAAGTTGATGGGTGGTGGAGGTGGCGATGGTGGAGGTGAGGGTCGGTGGGTCGCACAAATGTCGCGTAACTCCCTTCCCCACGCATGTCGAGGTGCGATAATCTCTGTCCGTACGGGATCGAGCGTTGCCCCCTCGCACACGCGTCTGTTCTCCTGTCGCCCCAGTTTCATCCCGCACGTAAACCACTCATCGTTAACTGGCCGATAACACCTCAACATGTAGAGGACCGCAGAGCTCAGGTAAATGACCACCGCGTGGCTGCTGATCTCCCCATTTCCCCGTCTGCGGTTCCTCCTACCGGCTCCTCCGAGTCGTCCTCTCTCTCTCTCCCCTCTCTACGAGAGCGTCGAGCGAATACTGTGCGCGCGTCGCGTTTCAAGTTGAAATTATCATCGTTCGTGTCGTGAAGGGTCGCGGGCCTTGCTGAACAGGCTTCGTGCCGGCCGCGGTCTTGCTGCTGCAGCTGCTGCTGCGGCCAACTTAACCGCGGCAACAGCGCTCCGTGGACGCGGTCCGGGTTCACCCAACAAGGTCGACCCGCACGCATCCACGGCGGGCCCAGCGCGCGCCGACGCGCTCCTCACCGTGGCTTCGCGCCGCCACCGCCGGATTGGTCAGGGGCTCCACGTGGTCCTGGCGCGACGGCCGCCCGTGCGGCTGCTGCCCCCACTCGGCCGCCTCTCGCCGCCCGTGCCGTCGCGCCAGCAGCTGCTTGAAGTCGGCCCAGTCTCGGCAGCGGCGCGCTTCAGGGTCGCGGTCCACGTCCCAGCGGCGGTGCGGGTTGTGCTCCTCGTAGCGCCAGCCGTGGTTCCTGGCGGCGAGACGTTAACCCCCTTATTCTTTACCACATTTCCGAAACTTTCTGCTAGTTGCAGGGTCGGGGGGGTGGGGGGGGGAGAGTCCCTGTTCAACGCTGAATCTTGGAACGTGCGAGCGGTTCGGCGTTAGTTTTATTTAGTGAGGTATAGTAGTTCTAGATTTGAAGCTTTCGTGACTGCAAGGATTCATACTCTTAGTTCTTTCGGTAAAGTCACGACTTTACCGAAAGAACTAAGAGTATAGGTATAGTAGTAGTAATAGCGTCGTTGTTTTTAAGGCGTTATTCACCGCAGAGAACCGCAGCGACACGATCGCCGTACTCAATGACAGCTGGCGCCAAACTGTGCCACGCGCCATCCCGCATGGCCTACGGGTCTCTATCTAAGTCTACAGGTCTCTGTGTAAATCTACGGGTCTCTATCTAAGTCTACGGGTCTCTGTGTGAGTCTACGGGTCTCTGTGTAAATCTACGGGTCTCTGTGTGAGTCTATGGGTCTCTGTTTGAGTCTACGGGTCTCTGTGTGAGTCTACGGGTCTCTGTGTGAGTCTACGGGTCTCTGTGTGAGTCTACGGGTCTCTGTGTAAATCTACGGGTCTCTGTGTGAGTCTACGGGTCTCTGTGTGAGTCTACGGGTCTCTGTGTAAATCTACGGGTCTCTGTGTGAGTCTACGGGCCTCTGTGTGAGTCTACGGGTCTCTGTGTGAGTCTACGGGTCTCTGTGTGAGTCTACGGGTCTCTGTGTGAGTCTACGGGTCTGTGTAAATCTACGGGTCTCTGTGTGAGTCTACGGGTCTCTGTGTGAGTCTACGGGTCTCTGTGTGAGTCTACGGGTCTCTGTGTGAGTCTACGGGTCTCTGTGTGAGTCTACGGGTCTCTATGTAAATCTACGGGTCTCTGTGTGAGTCTACGGGTCTCTGTGTGAGTCTACGGGTCTCTGTGTGAGTCTACGGGTCTCTGTGTAAATCTACGGGTCTCTATGTAAATCTACGGGTCTCTGCGTAAATCTACGGGTCTCTGTGTAAATCTACGGGTCTCTGTGTAAATCTACGGGTCTCTGTGTAAGTCTATGGATCTCCAAGCGAGTCACTGGTGACCGGGCTGACACCCATCAACTCACTGCAGTTGAGAAGCCGGTGTTACTAATGGTGGCTGTACCGGGTTCAGCGCTCTGCCCTCCGAACCAGTCGGTCGCCTCTCACCTCACCGTTACATCTTCCTCCTGCTGACGCGACTTGCTAAAGCATCCGCTTGCTACTGCAACCGTTGTCGCTGTTGCCTAATTGCTACAACAACTGCTGCGGCTACGACCGTAGTTACTACTTCTGTGACTGTACGTATGTAGAACTTCTTTCGCACCGTACTTAGCCACCCGTGCTCATCAGAGATGCAGGGGAAGGGCAACAAACGAAACCCACTGCCTCTAACACATTGTCCTGCGGAGGGAGCTGGTAGGAACGTTGGGTTGCTTGGTCAATGCCCTGCAGGGTCAACGGCGGCGTGGTGTATTCCGCAAATATGGCCAACTGTGAGGGTGGGCACAAGCCGGCGTGAGTAGGTTAAACGTTGAGTTTTATAAGGGCACCACGGGGTGACCAGCCCCTCCCCACCTAGCCCCACCCTCCCCACCCACCACCCAGCCCCACCCTCCCCACCCAGCCCCTCCCCACCCAGCCCCTCCCCACCCTCCCCACCCAGCCCCTCCCCACCCTCCCCTTCCCACCCTCCCCTCCCCACCCTCCCCACCCAGCCCCACCCTCCCCTCTCCACCCTCCCCACCCCATTTTTGGATGCACGACGGACACAATAATCCCCTGTGGGCTGGTGTAACCAGGAGGTTCCCAACCAGTATAACTGCTTCTGTTGCAACTTCTGCTGCTGCTGCTACTAACACTGCCTACGCTGCTACAGATGCTGCCGACATCCCTTCCGCCGTTAGCCACAAGCCGACGCCGCCACCATCGCCGCCACCTCCGCCACCTCTCTCTGTGCAGATTGATCCGTCCTGCCCAGCGGCCCTCGTCGGAGCGGCGCCCGGCGGTCCCCGGCGGCACCAGGTGGCCGGGCAGCTCCCGCAGGCTCGTCGCGCAGTCGTCGGGCGCCACGTTCGGGAACCGCGCCATCGCGAAGTCCCAGCGGCAGGAGCGGACGCGACGGTGGTGGCGCCCGTCCACCGCGCTCGGCGACCCCGACACCGGCAAGGCCGGGGAGAAGCCGAAACCCCGGCAAGGCGGCGCCGCTGGTTGCTCCTCCTCTGCCGGTGCCGGTGAAGAGCCAGCGTCGGGCTCCTCCGGGCTCGAGTGCCGGTGAGCGGCGGCAGCGTCGGTGTCAGCGGCGGAGCAGCGCTCTCTCTTGCTGTCCGCCCTGCGTGCCCACGGGGGGAGGGGGCGGCCGGCCGCGGAAACTTTACCAAGCAAAGGGAACGCAGTCGAATGATCCGCATTTAGAATCGACGTCACGTGTTAGAAGAGTTTTTGCCTGCTGCTGTAGATTTACACACGATGATGGTGATGAGCCGCTTCTTGTTCAGCTATCATGTGTGATAGGTTGCTTCTGAGAAAGAGCGATACAGCACAGCGAACCTTACCTGGTAAAATAGAAAGTTACAAATAATTTCGATTTAAAGCTTTCGTGACTGCAGGGATTCATCTTCTTGGTTCTTTCGGTAAAGTCACGTAGAAGGGAAGTAATAAAATAATAAAAATAAAACATAATCAAATAATTCTCACGACGTTTCGGCCACAACGCAAGCAGCCGTCCTCAGGTGGAGACCAGGTGTGTCGAGAAGACAGAACTGTTCAGACGCTGTCTCCTCGACAGACCTGGTCTTCACCTGAGGATGGCTGCTTGCGTTGTGGCCGAAACGTCGTGAGAATTATTTTATTACGTTTTATTTTTATTATTTTATTACTTCCCTTCTACGTGACTTTACCGAAAGAACCAAGAAGATGAGTTTTAAACATACTTTAGGTGACGGCTTCAAAGCAATGACGGGCTGCGGTCAACAGGCCGTCGGCGCAAGGTGCTGTTAACGAGAACCCATCAAGGTCGGCACGGCACACGGGGGCGTCGGTGGCCACTCGCGTGACGTCAGTCCGTACGTGGTGAGTACGTGGTGAGTACGCGGTGAGTACGCGGTGAGTACGTGGTGAGTACGTGGCATCATAGCGTGTCTCCGCTCGTTCACCGCGTGCGACGACAGCGGCGCGGATCAGCTTCTGCAGTGGAAAAACCAAGCTGGGCTCCTCCTGACCTGGGCCGGCTTGGCACGGCTCCGATATACAGTGGAAAAAAATTAACCCGTAAAAACTAAGTTTTTCACTATAAATCCTTTATATGCGTGGTGGCTAGAGTCCTCTCGTCCTCTGGCTTGAGATGGATGCCACCTATGGGTCAGATGATTGCCTGCCACCATTAAGCAATTGGTAATTAAATATAATTTTTTTGTCCTAAAAAGTGTAAAATTTTGGAGAAAAAAAATTTCACGAACATTAATTGTCTCGCACAACGAGTCTGTGTGCAAAATGTCAGCTCGATTGGATCACGGGAAGTGGGTTAAAAAACGACCGAAAGATTTGCACGGTCGTAAGCAAGCAAGCACGCAAGCACGCAAGCGAACTTAATATAAAGGCTTTAATAAGTATAACCAGTAAAAACAAAGTTTTTCACTATAAATCCTTTATATGCGTGGCGGCTATAATCCTCTCGTCCTCTGGCTTGAGATGGCTGCCACCTATGGGTCAGATGATTGCATTGCACCATTAAGCAATTGGTAATTAAATATATTTTTGTCCTAAAAAGTGTAACATTATGGAAAAAAATATATCACGAACATTAATTGTCACGCACAACGAGTCTGTGTGCAAAATGTCAGCTCGATTGGATCACGGGAAGTGGGTTAAAAAACGACCGAAAGATTTGCACGGTCTTAAGCACGCAAGCAAGCAAACTTAATATAAAGGATTTAAAAAGCAACATAGGCCAGCGTGCAAACTAACACACACACACCCACATCACTCACTCTGGGTGTTCACCGCTGCACTTCCGCTTGTGCCGTTTCTCTCCCCGGGAGACCGGCTCACTCGGCTGCTGCTCGTTCCTCGCTGGGACGTTCCTGCACAAGCAGCAGCACCGCCCAGACAAAGGTCCCCCGCATAGCCTTGAACAGACTGTTAGGGCAAGGGCTGTTAGCGAGTTGCACTTGGGAAGGGCGGCACCACGGGAGACGAGTGGATGGTGGGGTTGTCAGCACCACGCCCGGCTGCCTTTGTCTCCCCAGTGGTGATGTTTTTACACGCAGCACCAGATAATCGTCAAAGGTGTTGGTGGCCGTGAGCGGGAGTCGAACTCAGGTCGCCGGGTTTGTAGTGCAGAGCGCTAACCACTCCCCGACACCAGCATCACCGCACACGCATGTACAAAGACAAAGATCCCCCGTAAAGCCTTAACAGACTGTAGGGGCAAGTGCTGTTAGCGAGCACCTATGAAGGCCGGAACGGTACACGAGGGGGTGGGTGGCCAGCACCACGCCCGCCTTTGTTTCCCCAGTGCCGATGTTTACACACCGCACCAGGTACTCATTTAAGGCTGAGTCGACCTAGGGGAGGCCCGGGACCGGTTCAAATAATCGTGTTAGCTGTGAGCGGGAATCGAACCCGGGTCGCCAGGTTCATAGCGCAGCGCTAACCGCTACACTACCGCTCCCCACACGCATGTACACACACACACAAGTACACGCGTGTACACACACCTGCATTAGCACCGTTGGTTTAGGTACGGTGCCAATGAAGTTCAACGTATACACGTGCATCTCATTCATAATAACACGCTCGCTCACTCACTCGGGTCTGAAGCGCGTGACCACATAGCCCAGCCTCTTGAGATGGGCGTACACCTACAGAGGCGATTGGTGAGTGGGGGGGTAGACACAGAGGGACAGCCGGTGTTAGCACTCGCGACCAAGTCAACAGACAAAATCTCCAGATCCAAAATGTATTATTGGGGTGCCACGGTGGCTAGGAGATGTTAACTACCTCGCCTGGTATACAGGAGGTCGTGGGTTCAATCCCGACGCCTGACGCCTGCTGCTGTATATTTGGAATTTACGTGTCTCTCTCTCATCATCATCATCATCACGGTGGCTAGGAGATGTCGACTACCTCGCCTGGTGTACAGGAGGTCGTGGGTTCAATCCCGACCCCTGACGCCTGCTGCTGTATATTTGGAGTTTGCGTGTCTCTCTCTCTCATCATCATCACGGTGGCTAGGAGATGTTAACTACCTCGCCTGGTGTGCAGGAGGTCGTGGGTTTGATCCTGACCCTGATGCCTGCTGCTGTATATTTGGAGTTTGCGTGTCTCTCTCTCATCGTCATCCTTTTCCAACAGATCTGCCCAGGTGGCTACCTGTCAGCAAGAGCGAGCGGCTCGCAATCGAAGGCTCGCCGGGTTCAAATCCACGTTGGGGGTTGACTTGGTTCCATCATCCCTCCGAGTGCGTTAAAATAGGTACCGCTTTGCAAGCAATTTTTTTACGTAAATTTGGGCCGGACCACTACAATGCGGCCTTAGGTGAAAGAAAAAAAACCCGATTTGGCCACGAATGATAACATCGGCCGTCACAAACCATACCTCTCCATAACAAAGGCTCAGCCTTTTGTTATGCAGTCTATTCTTAGTCTTAAGCCTCACCTTACCATATTAATAAAAAGCTGTGCCGTACTTGGCCCTTCCCCCCTCTCCAACCATTATATAAACGGAGTGGTAGCTCTTGTAATCTCTCATTTACTTGATACAGCTATCGTGGCTGTGACGGTTCCACCTGAAGACGGAAGCTTGTGTTGCCTCCGAAACGTGGTGATTTTTATTATATTTTACTTTTATTAATTTTAATTTTTTACCTACGTGACTTTACCGAAAAAACCTAAGAATATGAATCCTTGCAGTCACGAAAGCTTCAAATCTAGAATATATTAAACCGCACGCGCGCCGAGCGATGATCCACCGGGGTTCGTGACGCACCTGATACTGGTGGAGCGAGAGGCCTTCGGTAGCGAGGGCCAGCTCATGGCCTTCCTGTATGGACAGCGGAAGCCCTCGCACCCTCAGCTCTATAGAGCCCTGCGCGCACACGAGATGGAAAGTCGTCACACCGGGTCACGATCGGCAATCCGCTGCTGGATGAAAGGCCTCCTCCCCCCCCAAGAACGTCGCCAGCTCTCACGGGCCTCGCAAGGAAACAATCCGACGTTACATCCGTGCTGTGCGGTGAACTTCTTTCGCACGCCGTACGTAATCGGAGGTGCGGGGGCAGGGACGACGAACTAAACACGAAGGGCAGTTGTGTTTCGCTTTGTTGTCCTGAACAATCATTGGGCGCGGCGTGCAGCGTGGAACGAGTTAATTTCTATTTGAATGGGGAGGAGTAAATTGGTAAACGCGGAATGACAGAGCGTGGTGGTGGTGGTGGTGGTCGTGGTGGTAGTGGTGGTGGTGGTAGTAGTAGTGGTGGTGGTAGTAGTGGTGGTAGTTGTGGTGGTGGTAGTTGTGGTGGTAGTGGTGGTAGTAGTGGTGGTGGTAGTAGTGGTGGTAGTAGTAGTGGTGTTAGTAGTGGTGGTGGTAGTGGTGGTGGTAGTAGTGGTGGTGGTAGTAGTGGTGGTAGTAGTGGTGGTGGTAGTAGTGGTGGTGGTGGTAGTAGTGGTGGTGGTGGTAGTGGTGGTGGTAGTGGTAGTAGTGGTGGTAGTAGTGGTGGTAGTGGTAGTAGTGGTGGTGGTAGTGGTGGTGGTAGTAGTGGTGGTAGTGGTAGTAGTGGTGATGCTAGTGATAGTAGTGGTGGTAGTAGTGGTGGTAGTGATAGTAGTGGTGGTAGTGGTGGTAGTAGTGGTAGTAGTGGTGGTCGTGGTGGTCATGGTGATAGTAGTGGTAGTAGTGGTGGTGGTCATGGTTTTAGTGGTGGTAGTAGTGGTAGTAGTGGTGGTAGTGGTGGTGGTAGTGGTGGTAGTGGTGGTAGTGGTAGTAGTGGTGGTAGTAGTGGTAGTAGTGGTGGTCGTGGTGGTCATGGTGGTAGTAGTGGTAGTAGTGGTGGTGGTCATGGTGTTAGTGGTGGTAGTAGTGGTAGTAGTGGTGTTAGTGGTGGTAGTGGTGGTAGTGGTAGTAGTGGTAGTAGTGGTGGTAGTAGTGGTAGTAGTGGTGGTCGTGGTGGTCATGGTGGTAGTAGTAGTGGTAGTAGTAGTGGTAGTAGTGGTGGTAGTAGTGGTGGTAGTAGTGGTGGTAGTGGTGGTAGTGGTAGTAGTAGTGGTGGTAGTGGTGGTAGTGGTAGTAGTAGTGGTGGTAGTGGTGGTAGTGGTAGTAGTAGTGGTGGTAGTGGTAGTAGTGGTAGTAGTAGTAGTGGTGGTAGTAGTAGTGGTGGTAGTAGTAGTGGTAGTAGTGGTAGTAGTAGTGGTAGTAGTAGTGGTAGTGGTGGTAGTGGTAGTAGTGGTAGTAGGTGGTAGTAGTTAGTGGTAGTAGGGTAGTGGGTAGTAGTAGTGGTAAGTTAGGTGGTCGTAGTCGTGGTAGTAGTGGTAGTAGTAGGTATTAGTGGTAGTTAGTAGTGGTAGTAGTAGTGGTAGTAGTAGTGGTAGTAGTTAGTGGTCCCGTAGTAGCTGGTAGTAGTGGTGAGTAGTAGTAGTGGTAGTAGGTCGTGTAGTAGTGTATTAGTGGTAGTAGTGGTAGTAGTGGTAGTCGTGGTAGTAGTAGTGGTCGTAGTGGTCGTAGTGTGGTAGTAGTTTTGGTAGTAGTAGTTGCTAGTGGTACTAGTTGTCGGTCAAGAGAAGCCGGAGGAAACCCGGGCACACACAACGAACCAAAAACGGGCAAGCGCATTTCGGAGGCAGGACGCACGGTGGGCGATGAACCACCGGTGGGTGTGAAACAAACACTGCAGCCACAGAACACCGCAAAGTCCCGAGACGCCGCGGCTGAGAAACACCGCGGCTACAATCCGGCGCACCCGCGACCGCGCTCACTCACACACTCTAGCAGGTAGAGGGCCTCCTCTGGGTAGAGCAGCTGCCTGCCGTTCACCATATGGCCCATCGTCTGCCAGAACTTGCCCTGCGTGGGAGGGGAGGGAGGGAGGGAGGGGAGGGGAGGAGAGGGAGGTCAGGCAGGTGCCTTCGCCGCTATGGTGCTGGTAGCGCAGCAGCAGGGGGATCTGGTGATGGGTTTTTGAGGGTGATTTGTGTTTCTTGTTGGTGTCTATGAACACAGTAACACACAATGGGACTAATGTTACACGGGAAACTCGCGTTAAATCTTTGAAAGAAAAAAATACAAACAAACGACATGATGAACGAAGTAAAGTGCCGAAAGACTGAGCATCTTTCTCGTCTGATCGTTAAAGAAAAAAGGGAAAAAAAGGAGGGAGGGGAGGGAGGGAGGGGACGGGAGGGAGAGAGGGAGAGAGGGAGGGAGGGAGGGATGGGAGGGGAGGGGGAGGAGAAGGGAGGGAGGCATTCGGTTAAACTCATGCAAACTTGAGGTCCCATCCCCCCACCCCGGAGCTGATTTTACTCTGCAGGGAATGTAAATATTTTGCTTTGGGATTCCTCGTTGTGAGTGTGGTTTTTGTTGTTGCTCTGATTGCTTAACTTAATTTCAGTGTTTTTTGTTTTTTTTTATTTGCAATTTTGGTCTCTTGAGTTGTTGAAAAACTCGCTCACTCGCTCACCTCTCTCGCCATCTCACTCACTCACGAATCCACTCACCTACCGACTCAGCCACTCACCCACCCACACATCTACTCGCACACGCATTCACACATCGAAACAATCACCCACCCGCCCATCGACGCACAGATTCACCCAAACGCCCACGCACCCACCCGCCCGCCCAACCACCCACCAGGCAAATTAGACTCTATCCTGGTCTCCTAAGTTCTCATCTGGTTACACAAAATCAACTTGACATTTGAACCACTGCTATGTGACTGCATGGATTGTATACACATTATTGTAAATGGTTCCAAATATTTGCCAATATTCCCCCAAAAATATTCGCAAATGACCCAATTGGCATCTACAAAGTAAGCATCATCCCCTGACGGTGTAAACCTGGCAGGGCTCTCTGTAACAAATATATGAAGGCTAATTTAACCAAATTTAGAAAACACAATTACAGCACAACCTCCGTTATCCGACATCCATGGGGAATGGATGGTGCCGGATATTCAAATATGCCGGTTATCTGAGAGTCATTCATACTTATCGTTCACCAAATCTAAAAAAACTTTTCAAGAAACTCAAACTTACATTTTAACTATGATATAAGAAATATATGATGTAAGAAATAATACTGGTAGGAACCTCCTGGTTCCACCAGCCCACAGGGGATTATTGTGTCCATCCGTCCGTCGTGCAGAGAGGGGCTGGGTGGGGAGGGGAGGGTGGGGAGGGGCTGGGTGGTTAACGAGGGCATTCCAGATGGCGTAGTGCCAGATGAGAGGGCTTTTGCTGTGCGCATGGATCCCTGTACACGGGCGAAAGTTCGGAGTGATACACTCATGAATGGCTCAGCACGGGACCTCAACTCACAGGTTTAGACTTCAACTCCACTTTCTCTTCTTCCGCAATCCATTCGGTCTGCACCAGATTCCCGCTGTTGCACAGCACAATACAGCTTGCTGCACAGCACAATACAGCTTGCAGCTCAAGACAGCCGTAGCACACATCAACGTCGTCGTCATCATCGTCGTCATCACCAACATCAGAATCGTTATTATCGCCACCGTAATTATCATCTTCATTACCACCACCACCTCCATCATCATCGCAACTATGATTATCGTCGTAGTCAACCAAGAAAAGCAGGATAAATTGCCGTGCAGAACAGAACACACAAATATTTACACCATTGGAACCTCATTTGCCAGTAGAAAAATATAATTGTTTTTTTACCCTTTTATCTGGCAACAAAACTGACACCTTTTTTACAAGGAGTCATGTTTGCACATGGTGTTGGACCAGATGACGCCAAAAGGCGCACGACGTCATCTGGTCCAACACCATGTGAGACTAGGCTCTAAGGAAAGCTGTCTCGGGTGTGGACCAATCAACTTCAAGGACAGTGCATACATTATCAGAGTTGTGTTTTTTGTTTGCATTCCGACTGCAGGTATTGTGGTCTATGCAAACATGACTCCTTGTATAATAATACTACTCTCATTTTTTATCGCGTCATTCATGCTAACAGCATCCCATAACGCTGTACATTCATTATATAAGAGGACCAAATGCCACATGAAAACTGTTGTGCACACTTTTGTGGATTTGCTCTCCGACACAACGGTAGGCTGAAGTGGTAACTGATTGACGCGTTTTGTTTACCGTGACAAACATTACTGGCCGTGTCGGGTGGTGGAGGGGTTACGACACATTTATACTCTTTGGTTCTTTCGGTAAAGTCACGTGGGTATAAAATAAAATAGATCACGACGTTTTGGGCGCAACACAAGCATCCGTCATCAGGTGGGAAAGCCATGGTCTGCTGCTGATGCAGATTGTTTTAAAAGGTCTGAAATGGGTGTAGCCCAAGGGTTGTAAAAAAGTGGCCGGGGCTAGCTTCAATTCAAGATTGACACATTTATACTTGCACGATCTAACCCAAAAACATTTATTATGATTCATGAATGCACTGATTAACCATGTCTTTTTTCATAGTATGTGTTTATGTTGTTAGCATCTTTGTATATTCACATCCATTGTTTAAATAATTACAAAGTAAATTTTTTTGGGTGAAAATGGTGACTTTTGATGCTAGCGGAATGCTTTTAACGTGCATTTCCTATACTTGCTTAACGACTGGTTACGTGGAACCAATTACAGTCGTTAAAAGGGGGTTCCACTCCATTTGGTGACATTTACTCAATGGGAAGGTTATTTTGTGGGCTCTATGGGAGTCTACTGTGGTGGCCTTGTCTGGCACAGTAGGGGGTACAGCTGGTGGTGCATCTACCGGTCATCTCAGTCAGCCAACCCATGGCACCTGCTGGGTCTGTCCCGTGACCTCCTGCACCTAGCCTGGCACAGTAGGGGGGTACAGCTGGTGGTGCATCTACCAGTGGTCATCTCAGTCAGCCAACCCATGGCACCTGCTGGGTCTGTCCTGCGACCTCCTGCACCTAGCCTGGCACAGTAGCGGGGTACAGCTGGTAATGCATCTACCAGTGGTCATCTCAGTCGGCCAACCCATGGCACCTGCTGGGTCTGTCCCGCGACCTCCTGCACCTAGCCTGGCACAGTAGGGGGGTACAGCTGGTGGTGCATCTACCGGTCATCTCAGTCAGCCAACCCATGGCACCTGCTGGGTCTGTCCTGTGACCTCCTGCACCTAGCCTGGCACAGTAGGGGGTACAGCTGGTGATGCATCTATAAGTGGTCATCTCAGTCAGCCAACCCATGGCACCTGCTGGGTCTGTTCCAAGACCTCCTGCACCTAGCCTGGCACAGTAGGGGGGTACAGCTGGTGGTGCATCTACCAGTGGTCATCTCAGTCAGCCAACCCATGGCACCTGCTGGGTCTGTCCCGCGACCTCCTGCACCTAGCCTGGCACAGTAGGGGGACACAGCTGGTGGTGCATCTACCGGTCATCTCAGTCAGACAACCCATGGCACCTGCTGGGTCTGTCCCGCGACCTCCTGCACCTAGCCTGGCACAGTAGGGGGGTACAGCTGGTGGTGCATCTACCAGTGGTCATCTCAGTCAGCCAACCCATGGCACCTGCTGGGTCTGTCCCGTGACCTCCTGCACCTAGCCTGGCACAGTAGGGGGTACAGCTGGTGATGCATCTATAAGTGGTCATCTCAGTCAGCCAACCCATGGCACCTGCTGGGTCTGTTCCAAGACCTCCTGCACCTAGCCTGGCACAGTAGGGGGGTACAGCTGGTGGTGCATCTACCAGTGGTCATCTCAGTCAGCCAACCCATGGCACCTGCTGGGTCTGTCCCGCGACCTCCTGCACCTAGCCTGGCACAGTAGGGGGGTACAGCTGGTGGTGCATCTACCGGTCATCTCAGTCAGCCAACCCATGGCACCTGCTGGGTCTGTCCCGCGACCTCCTGCACCTAGCCTGGCACAGTAGGGGGTACAGCTGGTGATGCATCTATAAGTGGTCATCTCAGTCAGCCAACCCATGGCACCTGCTGGGTCTGTTCCAAGACCTCCTGCACCTAGCCTGGCACAGTAGGGGGGGTACAGCTGGTGATGCATCTACCGGTCATCTCAGTCAGCCAACCCATGGCACCTGCTGGGTCTGTCCCGTGACCTCCTGCACCTAGCCTGGCACAGTAGGGGGGTACAGCTGGTGGTGCATCTACCGGTCATCTCAGTCAGCCAACCCATGGCACCTGCTGGGTCTGTCCTGTGACCTCCTGCACCTAGCCTGGCACAGTAGGGGGTACAGCTGGTGATGCATCTATAAGTGGTCATCTCAGTCAGCCAACCCATGGCACCTGCTGGGTCTGTTCCAAGACCTCCTGCACCTAGCCTGGCACAGTAGGGGGGGTACAGCTGGTGATGCATCTACCGGTCATCTCAGTCAGCCAACCCATGGCACCTGCTGGGTCTGTCCCGTGACCTCCTGCACCTAGCCTGGCACAGTAGGGGGGTACAGCTGGTGGTGCATCTACCGGTCATCTCAGTCAGCCAACCCATGGCACCTGCTGGGTCTGTCCTGTGACCTCCTGCACCTAGCCTGGCACAGTAGGGGGTACAGCTGGTGATGCATCTATAAGTGGTCATCTCAGTCAGCCAACCCATGGCACCTGCTGGGTCTGTTCCAAGACCTCCTGCACCTAGCCTGGCACAGTAGGGGGGGTACAGCTGGTGATGCATCTACCGGTCATCTCAGTCAGCCGACCCATGGCACCTGCTGGGTCTGTCCTGTGACCTCCTGCACCTAGCCTGGCACAGTAGGGGGTACAGCTGGTGATGCATCTATAAGTGGTCATCTCAGTCAGCCAACCCATGGCACCTGCTGGGTCTGTTCCAAGACCTCCTGCACCTAGCCTGGCACAGTAGGGGGGGTACAGCTGGTGATGCATCTACCGGTCATCTCAGTCAGCCGACCCATGGCACCTGCTGGGTCTGTCCCGTGACCTCCTGCACCTAGCCTGGCACAGTAGGGGGGTACAGCTGGTGGTGCATCTACCGGTCATCTCAGTCAGCCGACCCATGGCACCTGCTGGGTCTGTCCTGTGACCTCCTGCACCTAGCCTGGCACAGTAGGGGGTACAGCTGGTGATGCATCTATAAGTGGTCATCTCAGTCAGCCAACCCATGGCACCTGCTGGGTCTGTTCCAAGACCTCCTGCACCTAGCCTGGCACAGTAGGGGGGGTACAGCTGGTGATGCATCTACCGGTCATCTCAGTCAGCCGACCCATGGCACCTGCTGGGTCTGTCCCGTGACCTCCTGCACCTAGCCTGGCACAGTAGGGGGGTACAGCTGGTGGTGCATCTACCGGTCATCTCAGTCATCCGACCCATGGCACCTGCTGGGTCTGTCCTGTGACCTCCTGCACCTAGCCTGGCACAGTAGGGGGTACAGCTGGTGATGCATCTATAAGTGGTCATCTCAGTCAGCCGACCCATGGCACCTGCTGGGTCTGTTCCAAGACCTCCTGCACCTAGCCTGGCACAGTAGGGGGGGTACAGCTGGTGATGCATCTACCGGTCATCTCAGTCAGCCAACCCATGGCACCTGCTGGGTCTGTCCCGTGACCTCCTGCACCTAGCCTGGCACAGTAGGGGGGGTACAGCTGGTGATGCATCTACCGGTCATCTCAGTCATCTGACCCATGGCACCTGCTGGGTCTGTCCTGTGACCTCCTGCACCTAGCCTGGCACAGTAGGGGGTACAGCTGGTGATGCATCTATAAGTGGTCATCTCAGTCAGCCGACCCATGGCACCTGCTGGGTCTGTCCTGTGACCTCCTGCACCTAGCCTGGCACAGTAGGGGGTACAGCTGGTGATGCATCTATAAGTGGTCATCTCAGTCAGCCGACCCATGGCACCTGCTGGGTCTGTTCCAAGACCTCCTGCACCTAGCCTGGCACAGTAGGGGGGGTACAGCTGGTGATGCATCTACCGGTCATCTCAGTCAGCCGACCCATGGCACCTGCTGGGTCTGTCCCGTGACCTCCTGCACCTAGCCTGGCACAGTAGGGGGGTACAGCTGGTGGTGCATCTACCGGTCATCTCAGTCATCCGACCCATGGCACCTGCTGGGTCTGTCCTGTGACCTCCTGCACCTAGCCTGGCACAGTAGGGGGTACAGCTGGTGATGCATCTATAAGTGGTCATCTCAGTCAGCCAACCCATGGCACCTGCTGGGTCTGTTCCAAGACCTCCTGCACCTAGCCTGGCACAGTAGGGGGGGTACAGCTGGTGATGCATCTACCGGTCATCTCAGTCAGCCGACCCATGGCACCTGCTGGGTCTGTCCCGCGACCTCCTGCACCTAGCCTGGCACAGTAGGGGGGTACAGCTGGTGGTGCATCTACCGGTCATCTCAGTCAGCCAACCCATGGCACCTGCTGGGTCTGTCCTGTGACCTCCTGCACCTAGCCTGGCACAGTAGGGGGGGTACAGCTGGTGGTGCATCTACCGGTCATCTCAGTCAGCCAACCCATGGCACCTGCTGGGTCTGTTCCAAGACCTCCTGCACCTAGCCTGGCACAGTAGGGGGGGTACAGCTGGTGATGCATCTACCGGTCATCTCAGTCAGCCGACCCATGGCACCTGCTGGGTCTGTTCCAAGACCTCCTGCACCTAGCCTGGCACAGTAGGGGGGGTACAGCTGGTGATGCATCTACCGGTCATCTCAGTCAGCCGACCCATGGCACCTGCTGGGTCTGTTCCAAGACCTCCTGCACCTAGCCTGGCACAGTAGGGGGGGTACAGCTGGTGGTGCATCTACCGGTCATCTCAGTCAGCCGACCCATGGCACCTGCTGGGTCTGTCCCGTGACCTCCTGCACCTAGCCTGGCACAGTAGGGGGGTACAGCTGGTGGTGCATCTACCGGTCATCTCAGTCATCCGACCCATGGCACCTGCTGGGTCTGTCCTGTGACCTCCTGCACCTAGCCTGGCACAGTAGGGGGGTACAGCTGGTGATGCATCTACCGGTCATCTCAGTCAGCCGACCCATGGCACCTGCTGGGTCTGTCCCGTGACCTCCTGCACCTAGCCTGGCACAGTAGGGGGGTACAGCTGGTGGTGCATCTACCGGTCATCTCAGTCAGCCAACCCATGGCACCTGCTGGGTCTGTCCCGTGAACTCCTGCACCTAGCCTGGCACAGAAGGGGGTACAGCTGGTGATGCATCTATAAGTGGTCATCTCAGTCAGCCGACCCATGGCACCTGCTGGGTCTGTCCCGTGACCTCCTGCACCTAGCCTGGCACAGTAGGGGGGTACAGCTGGTGGTGCATCTACCGGTCATCTCAGTCATCCGACCCATGGCACCTGCTGGGTCTGTCCTGTGACCTCCTGCACCTAGCCTGGCACAGTAGGGGGTACAGCTGGTGATGCATCTATAAGTGGTCATCTCAGTCAGCCGACCCATGGCACCTGCTGGGTCTGTTCCAAGACCTCCTGCACCTAGCCTGGCACAGTAGGGGGTACAGCTGGTGATGCATCTATAAGTGGTCATCTCAGTCAGCCGACCCATGGCACCTGCTGGGTCTGTTCCAAGACCTCCTGCACCTAGCCTGGCACAGTAGGGGGGGTACAGCTGGTGATGCATCTATAAGTGGTCATCTCAGTCAGCCGACCCATGGCACCTGCTGGGTCTGTCCCGCGACCTCCTGCACCTAGCCTGGCACAGTAGGGGGGTACAGCTGGTGGTGCATCTACCGGTCATCTCAGTCATCCGACCCATGGCACCTGCTGGGTCTGTCCTGTGACCTCCTGCACCTAGCCTGGCACAGTAGGGGGGTACAGCTGGTGATGCATCTACCGGTCATCTCAGTCAGCCGACCCATGGCACCTGCTGGGTCTGTCCCGTGACCTCCTGCACCTAGCCTGGCACAGTAGGGGGGTACAGCTGGTGGTGCATCTACCGGTCATCTCAGTCAGCCAACCCATGGCACCTGCTGGGTCTGTCCCGTGAACTCCTGCACCTAGCCTGGCACAGAAGGGGGTACAGCTGGTGATGCATCTATAAGTGGTCATCTCAGTCAGCCGACCCATGGCACCTGCTGGGTCTGTCCCGTGACCTCCTGCACCTAGCCTGGCACAGTAGGGGGGTACAGCTGGTGGTGCATCTACCGGTCATCTCAGTCATCCGACCCATGGCACCTGCTGGGTCTGTCCTGTGACCTCCTGCACCTAGCCTGGCACAGTAGGGGGTACAGCTGGTGATGCATCTATAAGTGGTCATCTCAGTCAGCCGACCCATGGCACCTGCTGGGTCTGTTCCAAGACCTCCTGCACCTAGCCTGGCACAGTAGGGGGTACAGCTGGTGATGCATCTATAAGTGGTCATCTCAGTCAGCCGACCCATGGCACCTGCTGGGTCTGTTCCAAGACCTCCTGCACCTAGCCTGGCACAGTAGGGGGGGTACAGCTGGTGATGCATCTATAAGTGGTCATCTCAGTCAGCCGACCCATGGCACCTGCTGGGTCTGTCCCGCGACCTCCTGCACCTAGCCTGGCACAGTAGGGGGGTACAGCTGGTGGTGCATCTACCGGTCATCTCAGTCATCTGACCCATGGCACCTGCTGGGTCTGTCCCGCGACCTCCTCCTGTCAGCGAGCCTTCGACAACTCAACGCGATAGCCTCAAAGAACATCTGCGCCCTGGCAAAGGCGCGGTGACTTAGTGGCGAGTGACGGCTATCGGCATTGGCCTTGGCTGGGACGTACAGTCTCTCCACGCGTTCCTCGCCAAGCAGTTGCCAGTGCTCCTCCATGCAGCGCTGCAGTTGATCCCTCTGAGCAGCCGAGCCGTCTGGGGTGAAGTCTTTCTGGCCGTGGGCTCGCTGCGGCAGGCGGTGGCAGCGGGAGCGAGCCGCCACCAGCTCCCACGTGCTGCGGTACAAAACATCCAGAGCCCCAGAGAGGGTGCCTGTCAACCCCTTATCAAAACCACTACCTTATCACAGACCGATTCAGATCTTGTTGGTCACCCAGTGTCCTTATACATCTCAACGTTCATCCTATAAAGTCCCGTCACACGGGAGAAACGCAACAAATACACAATAACCACTAGTACACTCACCCCTAGGACACTCACCACTACACACCTGTCAACAGCCTTATCAGTGCCCCTACCTTATCACAGACCGATTCAGGCATTGTTGGTCACACGGGAGAAACACAACAAATACACAATAACCATTAGGACACTTACCACTAGTATACTCATTCCTACACTCACCACTACATACCTGTCAACCCCTTATTAGTGCCCCTACCTTATGACAGACCGATTCAGGCATTGTTGGTCACACAGTGTCCTTATACATCTCAACGTTCATCCTATAGAGTCCCATCACAAGGGAGAAACACAAACAAATAGACAAAAAACATGTTGTTGTCCCTATTGAAACGGCGTACGAACCTGAAAACTCAATTTCCCTGTACAAGAATAAAGACTAAACCGGATGGATTGACAGGTTTTAGAGAAACATTAGCGAATCATCAGAATCTGTATTTATACTGTGCTGGATGAATCCGATGAGCTCTAAAGCGCTTTTTCGCGGGTAAGAACGTTACAACAAACAGTATAACACATGATAGTAGTTGCAAAGTACAAGAGTAAAACAAATCACCCAAACATATACACACAAATACAACTAAACCATCCCCATCCTATTCGATTTAAAGCTTTCGTGACTGCAGGGATTCATCTTCTTGGTTCTTTCGGTAAAGTCACGTAGAAGGGAAATAATAAAATAATAAAAATAAAACATAATAAAATAATTCTCACGACGTTTCGGCCACAACGCAAGCAGCCGTCCTCAGGTGAAGAACAGGTCTGTCGAGAAGACAGCGTCTGAATGTTCTTCACCTGAGGACGGCTGCTTGCGTTGTGGCCGAAACGTCGTGAGAATTATTTTATTGTGTTTTATTTTTATTATTTCCATTCTACGTCGTGAGAATTATATAATTATGTTTTATATTTTTATTATTTTATTATTTCCCTTCTACGTGACTTTACCGAAAGAACCAAGAAGATGAATCCCTGCAGTCACGAAAGCTTTAAATCGAAAGATAGTGTGGGGGTTACTTTCAAGAACGCCTGCCTTGTCAGCGTGGATAAGTAGACCAAGGTACCATCTCTTTCTCTCACATCTTAAAAACGTCGCCGCTTTAAGATGTTCCCCGTTCGTATTGTGTTTGTTGCGCTTGCACCCGACTTAAGGGCTATACTTAAATAATTGAATAATTGAAATAAACTCTCTCGCTTGGCGCACCTCTCCATAACAAAGGCTCAGTCATTTATTCTAGATTTGAAGCTTTCGTGACTGCAAGGATTCATATTCTTAGGGTTTTTCGGTAAAGTCACGTAGGTGAAAAATTAAAATTAATTAATAAAAATAAAATAAAAATCACGACGTTTCGGAGGCAACACAAGCTTCCGTCTTCAGGTGGAACCGTCACAGCCACGACACCTGTATCAAGTAAAAAATGAATAAAAATAAAATAAAAGTCACGACGTTTCGGAGGCAACACAAGCTTCCGTCTTCAGGTGGAACCGTCACAGCCACGACACCTGTATCAAGTAAAAAATAAATAAAAATAAAATAAAAGTCACGACGTTTCGGAGGCAACGCAAGCTACCGTCTTCAGGTGGAACCGTCACAGCACGATTGCTGTATCAAGTAAAAAATGAATAAAAATAAAATAAAAGTCACGACGTTTCGGAGGCAACGCAAGCTACCGTCTTCAGGTGGAACCGTCACAGCCACGACACCTGTATCAAGTAAAAAATAAATAAAAAAAAAATAAAAGTCACGACGTTTCGGAGGCAACGCAAGCTACCGTCTTCAGGTGGAACCGTCACAGCACGATTGCTGTATCAAGTAAAAAATGAATAAAAATAAAATAAAAGTCACGACGTTTCGGAGGCAACGCAAGCTACCGTCTTCAGGTGGAACCGTCACAGCCACGACACCTGTATCAAGTAAAAAATAAATAAAAATAAAATAAAAGTCACGACGTTTCGGAGGCAACGCAAGCTACCGTCTTCAGGTGGAACCGTCACAGCACGATTGCTGTATCAAGTAAAAAATGAATAAAAATAAAATAAAAGTCACGACGTTTCGGAGGCAACGCAAGCTACCGTCTTCAGGTGGAACCGTCACAGCACGATTGCTGTATCAAGTAAAAAATGAATAAAAATAAAATAAAAGTCACGACGTTTCGGGGGCAACGCAAGCTACCGTCTTCAGGTGGAACCGTCACAGCACGATTGCTGTATCAAGTAAAAAATGAATAAAAATAAAATAAAAGTCACGACGTTTCGGGGGCAACGCAAGCTACCGTCTTCAGGTGGAACCGTCACAGCCACGACAGCTGTATCAAGTAAATGAGAGATTGCAGGAGCTACCACTCCGTTTATATAATGTTTGGAGGTGGTGGGGCAAGGGCCAAATACAGCACACTTTTTATTCATATGGTAAGGTGAGGCTTAAGAGGGTGAGCCTTTGTTGTGGAGAGGTACGGTTGTGACTCAACCTGTGACAAGGAGACAACCACTAATTCTAGATGTGAAGCTTTCGTGACTGCAAGGATTCATATTCTTAGGTTTTTTTCGGTAAAGTCACGTAGGTAAAACATTAAAATTAATAAAAAATAAAATAAAGATCACGACAACCACTAAACTCAGTCTTTTGTTATGCAGTCTATTCTTAGTCTTAAGCCTCACCTTACCATATTAATAAAAAGTGTGCTGTATTTGGCCCTTCCCCACTCTTCAAACATTATATATACGCAGTGGTAGCTCTTGTAATCTCTCATTCACTTGATACAGCTATCGTGCTGTGACGGTTCCACCTGAAGACGGAGGCTTGTGTTGCCTCCGAAACGTCGTGATTTTTATTTTATTTTTATTTATTTAAATTTTTTACTTGATGCAGCAACCGTGCTGTGACGGTTCCACCTGAAGACGGAGGCTTGTGTTGCCTCCGAAACGTCGTGATTTTTATTTTATTTTTATTTATTTAAATTTTTTACTTGATGCAGCAATCGTGCTGTGACGGTTCCACCTGAAGACGGAGGCTTGTGTTGCCTCCGAAACGTCGTGACTTTTTTTCGATTTGAAGCTTTCGTGACTGCAGGGATTCATCTTCTTGGTTCTTTCGATAAAGTCACGTAGAAGGAAAGTAATAAAATAACAAAAATAAAACATAATAAATTAATTAAATTTTGATTTAAAGCTTTCGTGACTGCAGGGATTCATCTTATTGGTTCTTTCGGTAAAGTCACGTAGAAGGGAAGTAATAAAATAATAACAATTAAACATAATAAAATAATTCTCACGACGTTTCGGCTACAACGCAAGCAGCCGTCTTATTATGTTCACCTGAAGACGGCTGCTTGCGTTGTAGCCGAAACGTCGTGAGAATTATTTTATTATGTTTTATTTTTATTATTTTATTACTTCCCTTGTCGTGACTTTTATTTTATTTTACTTTCAATTAAATTTAACTTTTTTTTACCTAACGTGACTTTACCACAAAAAAACAATCTAAGAGAACATGAATCTTTGCTGCAGTCACGCAAGCTTCACATCTCGAATGGGTGCCCTTTCTGCGTGCTGTTCACTCACGCCAATGTGTGGGTCGTCCGCGCGGCGACCTCCTCCTTTTCTTCTTCGTCCATCGCTTCTCTGAGGAGGAGGGCTTCTTGGTTTCTTGAAGGAATCCGAAGTTTGTCGTCGTTGTCGTTGTTGTTGTTTGAAGCGGGAAGAAATCAACGTCCCTTGTCGAAATCGTCGCCTTCCGACTAATCTTGAGGCCTTTCTTTCCGCGGCGGGGAACGCGTGCGCGGTGACGTCACGACGCAGCCTGTACGTCATTACGTAATTGCGTCATTACGTCATCGCGTCGATACGTCATCGCGTCATTACGTCATCACGCCAATACGTCATTGCGTCAATTACGTCATCGCGTCATTACGTCATCGCGCCATTACGTCATCGCGTCATTACGCCATCGCGTCATCGCGCCCAAACGTCATCACGTCAATTACGTCATCGCGCCATTACGTCATCACGTCAACTCGTCATCGCGTCAGCCCGTCAACACGTCATCGCGTCATCAGCAGGTGCAGCGATGAAGGACCGTCCGTAAATGACGTCACGCGATTTTGGACGATTTTTGACCCCTCCCCCTCCCCCCCTCGTCACACGGCGTCACGAAAAGTCAGACCCCCCCCCTCAAATATGACGTCACAAAGCTCTGCCCCCCCCTCCTCAAATATGACGTCACAAAAAGTCAGACCCCCCCCTCAAATATGACGTCACAAAAAGTCAGACCCCCCCCCTCCTCAAATATGACTTCACAAAAAGTCAGACCCCCCCCTCAAATATGACGTCACAAAAAGTCAGACCCCCCCCCTCAAATATGACGTCACAAAGCTCTGCCCCCCCCCTCATATATGACGTCACAAAAAGTCAGACCCCCCTCAAATATGACGTCACAAAGCTCTGCCCCCCCCCCCCAAAACCATGTTATAATTTTAAAAATAAAACTTGCTTCAAATCGCTTTAAACTATTGTCATTGTAGTGCGTATTTAATGTGGCGCTGCTGCACTCTGATGTTGTAGGAGAAAAATTTATTTAAAAAAGTCTATTTAATTAAGTAGAACGTGTTGTCTATATTTATTTCAAGTTATTCTTTGGTTCTTTCGGTAAAGTCACGTATAAAGATAAAATAACATAAAAAGTTGCTATTATTTATTTTATTATTTTATCTTTAATATCAATTATTTATTTTATTATTTATTTCTATTTAAAGTTGCTTTTTTTGATGTGACGTCACATTTCTCACCCCCCCCCTCGTCACACATCGTCACAAATGTCTGACCCCCCCCCCCGAGGTGCGTGACGTCATTTATGGACGGCCCCTAACGTCTCCGACGCATGTGCTGCGGCGTGACGTCATCGCGTAGCGCAAGAAAATCGTTACCGTGCGTGGTGACGTCACGAGGGCAAGAGCGAGTGACGTCACGAGGGCAAGCGCGAGTGACGTCACGAGGGCAAGCGCGAGTGACGTCACCGCGCTGCCTCGAGAGCCAAGCGCGCGCGGGTAAATAAATTGTCTGTGCGTAGTGACGTCACAAATGCCGTAGTGATGTCATCACGTTTGCTTCCAGGCCCAATGTGCGGCACGGAAACCGTTGCTGTGCGTGGTGACGTCACGACGCCAAAATCGAGTGACGTCATCGCGCTACTTCGACACACCCAAACGCGCGGACGTGAAATTGGCTATGCGTAGTGACGTACGAACGCAACAAAGAAGTGACGTCACCACTGCTGCTTCAGGGCAGAAGGGGCAGTCCATAAATGACGTCACGCACCTGGGGGGGGGGGGGTCAGACATTTGTGACGATGTATGACGAGGGGGGGGGGTGAGAAATGTGACGTCACATCAAAATAAGCAACTTTAAATAAATATAGACACAACACGTTCTACTTAATTAAATAGACTTTTTAATAAATTTTGATTTAAAGCGTTCGTGACTGCAGGGATTCATATTCTTGGTTCTTTCGGTAAAGTTACGTAGAAGGGAAATAATAAAATAATAAAAATTAAAAAAAATAAGACTGCAATTTTATTGTTTTAGATTTTTTTAATTTTATTATTTCCCTTTTTAATAAATGTTTTCTCCTACAACATCAGAGTGCAGCGCCACACTAAATACGCACTACAATGACAATAGTTTAAAGAGATTTGAAGCATGTTTTATTTTTTAATTTTGTATTTTGGGGGGAGGGCTTTGTGACGTCATATTTGGGGGGAGGGGGTCAAAAATCGTCCAAAATCGCGTGACGTCATTTATGGACGGCCCCCAATGACGTCACGAGACTCAAGCACTGTGACGTCAGCGCGCTTATCCCCACACCAGCCTGGTCAGCGTGGGTTGACGAAGTATGAATCTTAATTTTGGAGCTTTCGTGACTGCAGGAATTACTCTTTAGTTAATTGGTTCTTTACCCTTCTATCTGGCAACAAAACTGACACCTTTTTGCAAGGAGTAATGTTTGCATAGACCGCAATACCTGCAGTCATAAATACAAACAAAAGACATAACTCTGATAATGTGCACTGTCCTTGAAGTTGATTGGTCCACACCCGAGACAGCTTTCCTTCGAGCCTAGTCTCATATGGGTTGGACCAGATGACGCCAAAAGGCGCACAACTCAAGGACAATGCACCATCAGAGTATGAGAGCTCGGGGCAAGCATCTACACTATGGGGACCTCATTTGCCAGTAAAAATATGATAATTGGTATGATAAAAATATGATAAAAGGTGTCAGTTTTGTTGCCAGATAGAAGGGTAAAGAACCAATTATCATATTTTTACTGGCAAATGAGGTCCCCATAGTGTAGATACTCTTTAGTTCTTTCGGTAAAGTGACGTGTAAAGATAAAATAATAAATTAAATACTAGCATACTACGACGTTTCGATTGCAACACAAGCAATCATCATCAGATATAAATGAAATAGAAACACAAATCTAGTGTACTTAGACATGTAATGTAATACAACAGAGAGTCGGATAACATAACAGTCAACACCCTACCTATACACTACTACACACTACACTATACACTACACTATACACTACTACACTATACACTACACACTACACTATACACTACACTATACACTACTACACTACACACTACACTATACACTACACACTACACTATACACTACACTACTACACTACACTATACACTACACACTACACTATACACTACACTATACACTACTACACTATACACTACACACTACACTATACACTACACTACACTATACACTACTACACTACACACTACACTATACACTACACACTACACTATACACTACACTATACACTACACACTACACTATACACTACACTATACACTACTACACTATACACTACTACACTACACTATACACTACACTATACACTACACTACACTATACACTACACACTACACTATACACTACACTATACACTATACACTACACTATACACTACACTATACACTACACTATACACTACACTATACACTACACTATACACTACTACACTATACACTACACACTACACTATACACTACACTATACACTACTACACTACACACTACACTATACACTACACACTACACTATACACTACACTATACACTACACACTACACTATACACTACACTATACACTACTACACTATACACTACTACACTACACTATACACTACACTATACACTACTACACTACACACTACACTATACACTACACACTACACTATACACTACACACTAAACTATACACTACTACACTACACTATACACTACTACACTACACACAACACTATACACTACACTCTACACTACACTATACACTACTACACTACACACTACACTACACTATACACTACTACAACAGAGAGTCTGATAACATAACAGTCAACACCCTACCTGGTTGATTACGTTCTTCCTGAGAATGCTAAATTTGAGAGAGAGATAAAACACAGAACCAGAGACATATAGACAGACATATAAGTAGAGACAGATATCACAGAGATACACAGAGAGAGAGAGAGACGTACATAGGCACACAGAGAATAACAGTCAACACCCTACCTGGTCGATTACGTTCTTCCTGAGAATGCTAAATTTGAGAGAGAGAGATCAAACACAGAACCAGAGACATATAGACAGACATATAAGTAGAGACAGATATCACAGAGATACATAGAGAGAGACGTACATAGGCACACAGAGAATAACAGTCAACACCCTACCTGGTTGATTACGTTCTTCCTGAGAATGCTAAATTTGAGAGATAGAGATCAAACACAGAACCAGAGACATATAGACAGACATATAAGCAGACAGACATCACAGAGATACATAGAGAGAGACGTACATAGGCACACAGAGAATAACAGTCAACACCCTACCTGGTTGATTACGTTCTTCCTGAGAATGCTAAATTTGAGAGCGAGATCTCTCTCTCCATTTCTAAGTATACTAGATTTGTGTTTCTATTTCATTTATACCTGATGATGATTGCTTGTGTTGCAATCGAAACGTCGTATGCTCGTATTTGATTTATTATTTTATCTTTCTTCTTGGTTCTTTCGGTAAAGTCACGTAGAATGGAAATAATAAAATAATTCTCACGACGTTTCGGCCACAACGCAAGCAGCCGTCCTCAGGTGAAGACCAGGTCCGTCGGGGAGACAGCGTCGTGAGAATTATTGAATGTTTTATTTTTATTATTTTATTATTTCCATTCTACGTGATGACTTTACCGAAAGAACCAAGAAGATACATCCCTGCAGTCACAAAAGCTTTAAAATTATTTTATTATGTTTTATTTTTATTATTTTATTATTTCCATTCTATGTGACTTTACCGAAAGAACCAAGATGATGAATCCCTGCAGTCACGAAAGCTAAAAAATAATATTTTTAATTTTTAATTTTAATTATTTTATTATGTCCATTCTATGTGACTTTACCGAAAGAACCAAGATGAATCCCTCCAGTCACGAAAGCTTTAAAGTTATTTTATTATTTTTTATTTTTTTATTTCCATTCTACGTGATGACTTTACCGAAAGAACCAAGAAGATGAATCCCTGCAGTCACGAAAGCTTTAAATCGAAATTCAATCAACAAATCTAACCTATCCGACCACGCTGTTCGGAACCCGCCACGCAAATCGCCGCGGACCCTCGAGCGCATTCGCCAAGCCGCCTCGTCAGGGATCAATCCGCGCAAATCGCCGCGCACCCTTAGGCGTGCCCCGACCCCCCCCACCACCACCGCTCCACGCTAACCGAGGCTGCAGCTTCCAACTTCGGGGGGCTCCACGCGGCCCCAACGAGCCCCCCCTATCACGCAAAGCTCCCCTCGTAAAGTCCCCGCGTCCCTACCGATCGCCTCGAACCTCTTACTTCATCATCATCACCGCCACCAATCACACCTCAACCCCTTCGCCCCACCACAACCGCCACCACTACCCCCCCCCCCCTGCGGCCTTGTTTTCATACCCGCGAGGAGGCGAGGCCCCCGGCAGTGTCGCTAGGCCAGAGCGGTGATTTCGCGCGGAGCTTCGGGTCCGACGATTCGTGTTCAAAGCCTTTCGCAAGGTAATTACGGCGGGGTCGGTCATTGGCGGCTCTCGCTCAGCCTCGCCGAGGACTGAACACGATGCCTCCCCCTGTCTCCCCCCGCCTTGCCTGGATGCAGGACCGTATTTGGTGGCAGGTAACGAGGGGGCAGGCCTCGATCGCTGGCGTGGTTGCGTTCCCAAGTGGTATGGGGGGGTAGTGGATTGTAATCGCGTCAACTCCACGTTCCTCTGGACGAGGACCGCGTATTGCTATTCGCGGTTGACACGCCGAGTCTGTCTCTGGAGAACGGGAGCCCCCGTGGTTTGCCGCGTTAACGAAGCGACGTTTGGACTCCCCCCCCCACCCCGCCTGCCTTCATCTCCTCGTGCTATCCTCCCCCGTGTTTACCGTGATTAGTAACACCCACACACTCACCCACTAACTCACCCAACTCACCCACTCACTAACTCATCTACCCACTCACTCATCTACCCACTCACCCACTCACTCACCCATCCACTAACTCACTCACCCACCCACTCACCCACCCAACCACTCACTCACCCACCCAACCACTCACCCATCCAACCACTCACTCACCCACTCACTTACCCACCCACCGATCCACTCACTCACCCACACACTCACCCACTCACTCACCGATCCACTAACTCACCGATCCACTAACTCACCCACCCACTAACTCACCCACCCACTAAATCACCCACTCACTCACCCATCCACCCACTCACTCACTTGCCCACCCACTCACCCACTCACTCACCCACTCACTCACCCACTCACCCACTCGCTCATCCACCTACTCACCCACCCGCTCACCAACCCACTTACCAACCCACCCACTCAGCAACCCACCCACTCAGCAACCCACCCACTCAGCAACCCACCCACTCACCAACCCACCCACCCACTCACCAACCCACCCACCCACTCACCAACCCACCCACTCACTCACCAACCCACCCACTCACCAACCCACCCACCCACTCACCAACCCACCCACCCACTCACCAACCCACCCACCCACCCACCCACTCACCCACCCACTCACCCACCCACCCACTCACCCACTCACCCACCCACTCACTCACCCACACACTCACCCACTCACTCACCGATCCACTAACTCACCCACCCACTCACTCACCCACACACTCACCCACTCACCCACCCACCCACTCACCCACACACCCACTCACCCACCCACCCACTCACCCACCCACTCACCCACTAACTCACCCACCCACTCACCCACTCACCAACCCACTTACCAACCCACCCACTCACCAACCCACCCACTCACCAACCCACCCACTCAGCAACCCACTCACCAACCCACCCACCCACTCACCAACCCACCCACCCACTCACCAACCCACCCACCCATTCACCAACCCACCCACCCGCTCACCAACCCACCCACTCACTCACCAACCCACCCACCCACTCACCAACCCACCCACTCACCAACCCACCCACCCACTCACCAACCCACCCACCCATTCACCAACCCACCCACTCACCAACCCACCCACTCACCAACCCACCCACCCACCCATTCACCAACCCACCCACTCACCAACCCACCCACTCACCAACCCAACCACCCACCCACTCACCAACCCACTCACCAACCCACTCACCAACCCACTCACCCACTCACCAACCCACCCATCCACTCACCAATCCACCCATCCACTCACCAATCCACCCACCCACTCACCCACCCACTCACCCACCCACCCACTCACCCACCCACCCACTCACCCACTCACTCACCCACTCACCCACTCACTCACCCACTCACCCACCCACTCACCCGCTCACTCACCCACTCACCAACCCGCCCACCCACTCACCAACCCACCTACCAACTCACCCATCCACCCACTCACCCACCCACCCACTCACCCACCCACCCACTCACCCACCCACTCACCCACCCACTCACCCACTCACCCACCCACTCACCCACCCACTCACCCACTCATCTACCCACTCACCCACCCACTCACCCACCCACTCATCTACCCACTCACCAACCCACCCACTCACCAACCCACCCACTCACCAACCCACCCACTCACCAACCCACCCGCTCACCAACCCACTCACCAACCCACCCACTCACCAACCCACCCACTCAGCAACCCACTCACCAACCCACCCACTCACCAACCCACCCACCCACTCACCAACCCACCCACCCATTCACCAACCCACCCACCCACCCATTCACCAACCCACCCACCCACTCACCAACCCACCCACTCACTCACCAACCCACCCACCCACTCACCAACCCACCCACCCACTCACCAACCCACCCACTCACCAACCCGCCCACCCACTCACCAACCCACCCACCCACTCACCAACCCACCCACTCACCAACCCACCCACCCATTCACCAACCCACCCACCCATTCACCAACCCACCCACTCACCAACCCACACACTCACCAACCCAACCACCCACCCACTCACCAACCCACTCACCAACCCACTCACCAACCCACTCACCCACTCACCAACCCACCCATCCACTCACCAATCCACCCATCCACTCACCAATCCACCCACCCACTCACCCACCCACTCACTCACCCACCCACCCACTCACTCACCCACCCACCCACTCACTCACTCACCCACTCACTCACCCACCCACCCACCCACCCACTCACTCACCCACCCACTCACCCACCCACTCACCCACCCACCCACTCACTCACCCACTCACGCACCCACTCACCCACTCACTCACCCACTCACCAACCCGCCCACCCACTCACCAACCCACCTACCAACTCACCCATCCACCCACTCACCCACCCACTCACCCACCCACCCACCCACTCACCCACCCACTCACCCACTCATCTACCCACTCACCCACCCACTCACCCACCCACTCATCTACCCACTCACCAACCCACCCACTCACTCACCCACCCACTCACCAACCCACCCACTCACCAACCCACCCACTCACTCACCAACCCACTCAGCAACCCACTCACTAACCCACCCACCCACTCAGCAACCCACCCACCCACTCACCAACCCACCCACCCACTCACCAACCCACCCACCCACTCACCAACCCACCCACCCACTCACGAACCCACCCACCCATTCACCAACCCACCCACCCATTCACCAACCCACCCACCCACTCACCAACCCACCCACTCACTCACCAACCCACCCACCCACTCACCAACCCACCCACCCACTCACCAACCCACCCACCCACTCACCAACCCACTCACTCACCAACCCACCCACCCACTCACCAACCCACCCACTCACCAACCCACCCACTCACCAACCCACCCACTCACCAACCCACTCACTCACCAACCCAACCACCCACCCACTCACCAACCCACTCACCAACCCACTCACCAACCCACCCACTCACTCACCAACCCACCCATCCACTCACCAATCCACCCATCCACTCACCAATCCACCCACCCACTCACCCACCCACTCACTCACCCACCCACCCACTCACTCACCCACACACCCACTCACTCACCCACCCACCCACTCACTCACCCACTCACTCACCCACACACCCACTCACCCACCCACCCACCCACCCACTCACTCACCCACCCACTCACCCACTCACTCATCCACTCACTCATCCACTCACCAACCCGCCCACCCACTCACCAACCCACCTACCAACTCACCCATCCACCCACTCACCCACCCACCCACTCACCCACCCACCCACCCACTCACCCACTCACCCACCCACTCACCCACCCACTCACCCACTCATCTACCCACTCACCCACCCACTCACCCACCCACTCATCTACCCACTCACCAACCCACCCACTCACCAACCCACCCACTCACCAACCCACCCACTCACCAACCCACCAACTCACCAACCCACCCACTCACCCACCCACTCACCAACCCACCCACTCAGCAACCCACTCACCAACCCACCCACCCACTCACCAACCCACCTACCCACTCACCAACCCACCCACTCACCAACCACCCACCCACTCACCAACCCACCCACCCACTCACCAACCCACCCACTCACCAACCCACCCACCCACTCACCAACCCACCCACTCACCAACCCACTCACTCACCCACCCAACCACCCACCCACTCACCAACCCACTCACCAACCCACTCACCAACCCACTCACCCACTCACCAACCCACCCACCCACCCACTCACCAACCCAACCACCCACCCACTCACCAACCCACTCACCAACCCACTCACCAACCCACTCACCCACTCACCAACCCACCCATCCACTCACCAATCCACCCATCCACTCACCAATCCACCCACCCACTCACCCACCCACTCACTCACCCACCCACCCACTCACTCACCCACCCACCCACTCACTCACCCACCCACCCACTCACTCACCCACTCACTCACCCACGCACCCACTCACCCACCCACCCACCCACCCACTCACTCACCCACCCACTCACCCACTCACTCATCCACTCACTCATCCACTCACCAACCCGCCCACCCACTCACCAACCCACCTACCAACTCACCCATCCACCCACTCACCCACCCACCCACTCACCCACCCACCCACCCACTCACCCACTCACCCACCCACTCACCCACCCACTCACCCACTCATCTACCCACTCACCCACCCACTCACCCACCCACTCATCTACCCACTCACCAACCCACTCACTCACCAACCCACCCACTCACCAACCCACCCACTCACCAACCCACCAACTCACCAACCCACCCACTCACCCACCCACTCACCAACCCACCCACTCAGCAACCCACTCACCAACCCACCCACCCACTCACCAACCCACCTACCCACTCACCAACCCACCCACTCACCAACCCACCCACCCACTCACCAACCCACCCACCCACTCACCAACCCACCCACTCACCAACCCACCCACCCATTCACCAACCCACCCACTCACCAACCCACCCACTCACCAACCCACCCACCCACCCACTCACC